CTGAAAGAATCAAAAGCGAGCATTCGTCGGTGCATCATCAGAGGAATGCTACTGGTAGAAGAGAAGTGGAACTCAAACTGGTCGGGGCAAGCTTAGACTGGCCTGGCTTGATTTCACTTGAGCAAGGGTGAGTCGGGGAGGAAGCATTTCTCTAGTTTGCTTTCTGCGCACCGACGCGTGAATCATATTTGGGCACATTGAGGCATCGTTGCCTTCTGCTTCCACGTCTTCTGTCTAACGTGCCGCCATGGTTCTTCTGGTCCGTCATGAGTACTGTTATTTGTTCCCCTGCGTCTCACTGCTTATGGTGTGCTGGCATTCTGTGCTTGCACTTTGCCGCTTGTACGTATTCGCTTCGTTCGGTCTTGTTGTCGCCCTTCCTTTCCTTGTCTGCCCCTTCCTTCCTAAGAAATTAAATATAGTCACATGAGTGAGGCAGGCTTGTTTTTTCATTGGACAAGGGTACCTTCCAAGATCCTCCACACTGATGCTGATGCTGATGCCCGGCCACTAAGCCCATCCGAGGAGAATTTTCCCAAACCCCAACTCCAGATGCTGGAAGCTATCCCCGCTCTCAACCCGTCATCCGAAGCCCTAAGCCCTTAACACCCAAACTAGAACCACCGTTTTGCAACAGACGTCGTAGCTGCCTGATACCCCCAAAACCCCCAAACCGACCCACACCAGGCCGGTAGGTGGCCTTCGAGATCTGGCCTTGCTTGATGACTTCGTACTGGAGTTGGTCCACTTTGCCCTAGGAGAACGGAAGTTTCGGATTTGGCGCCTCTGCCGTTGCAGTTGCGGAGCAGCCTAAACCCTAAACCCTAAACCCCAAACCCTAAACCCTAAACCCTAAACCCTAAACCCTAAACCCAAACCCTAAACCCTAAACCCTAAGCCCTAAACCCTGAGTCAGGAGAGCAAAGAGAGGAATCCCACTTCGACTTGCCGTGCACGTTAATGCTCTCGACGTGGTCTGAGGGTCAACGTCCGAGCTGCACTGCTGCTGCCAGGGATGCTAATGGGTAGAGGGCTGCCAGCTGCTCAGCTTTTTGGGAGGTAGGTGGGTTTGGGTTTTGGGATTTGTGGGCCTAGGTCGGAGTAACCACTGGCGCCCCGGCGATATTCCGACCATGATCCTCCACCAGGGTGATGAGCTCCTTTCGGAAGTCAGGGTTTCGGAGCCCCAAAGCACTCTCCTCCGACCCCTTGACCCTTGAAGTGGTCATGGCTGTGAATCGAGATGGGGTTATGTGGTGGAACCCTCCCACTCCTGCCGTGCCCCTCCCTTTATATCCGACATCTTCCCTTCCAGAACGCACACGCAGGTACGAAGACCGAACCGGGCATGCAGCATCGAAGAAAAAGGACTGTTCATGTGGCTTGCTGTGGTCACCAATTGGAGAGCATTTTGCGCAGATAGCGTTTAAGGGTATGCATGTGGTCGAGATAGCTTGTTTCGGAGCAGGCTAGGCTTGCCACAGCAGAGAACCGCTTTGTTACAATCCCAATGTCAGCCGCATACAGGGGACCATCTGAAGTCGTGGCCATATAGGGTTTCATAGAATTACTTCCCCACCATCATGTGTCCTTCTGTCGGTGGTCGAGGTCCGAGATTTGCAGCAAGGTTGGGCGAAGTACCCGGAGAATCTGGCAGATGGAGGCGTGAGCAAGCAAGCCCTACTATCACTGCTAGAAGGGTTTTCAGAGCTCGGGGCTGGGGTGTTTGGTTCCATAGGGCCTTGGAGGTCTGAACCTGTAACCCGTATAATTGCCAGAAATAGAGCCACACATCCCCAACCCTGAACCTGGAAAATGGCAAGCCACCTAAAATCGACAGCCGGCATGGCGCTCTAGAGTTCCAGACGTTAGTTTGGACGTAGCGGACAGCCCTCAACCCTTGCACACACATGCCTCATTGAGCTGGCAATGACGGGTGCTTTCAAGCAAGTCAGAAGTGAAACGCGCATGCTACTGATGCTCAAGCAGCTCCTCTTGTGAGGCCCGCAGTGGCGCTCTACCGTACAACCATCAAGGTCAAAACTCGGGGAGTTTCTCGAAGCCGCGGCTTCAAACCTGTGCCGAAAATCTACATTCATAGTGGGCTTGCACGGATTTTCTGCAGGGCCCATTCAGAATCGAATGCAGGCCGTTCCATACACGACACCCGGTAGTTGGCCACACTGAACAAGCCCTGTGCTCTGCTCCAGAGAAACTTCCCCACCAAAAGCGTCGCTTGGCGACTACTCCGGCAACTTCTTCGCATCTGCCACTCGCTCCTCCCGGCTTTGACGCACACTTTGGTTTCAAGGCTGGTACCCCTAAGGTTGTACCCCTAAAGGTTCTCCTTAGGAAACTCCTAGTATGGTGGATACGGGTGGTTCTCTCGCGGGTTTATATCAGGTTTGGGGCGATTCAGGGCTTGGGATTTCGGATGCGTTATAGGGGTCAGTGCTGACTTTCGTTGGCATCTTGATTTTCAGCTGGACTAGGAAGCTTAGGTTCCGGGTTTTGCATTTTAGGCTCTTTCAGGGTCTGCGTGGAGTTGTTTCGGGCAGCTTCCGGGAGCCTGAAGGGAACCTGGGGGAATCCATACACTTGCTAAACCCGAACCCCGTAAACGCTAAAACCGAAATGCTTGCAAGTGAAAGAACTATACTCTCCTTAAAACCTTAATAAAATATTATTTTAATATCCTTTTGGATTTTACATGAAAAAATTTTAAAAAAGAAAGAAACAAGGGGGATAGTATAGGAAATGTTGACCCGAACCATAGATCGCTACAACTTGGCAGCTCGGACCCCGCCACCTTCTTCCCTGAACCTCCAGGAGCACCCTCCGACACCCTCCGAGGCTTTGGGGTTTCTGAGGTTTTTGCGAGGCTTTTTAAGGGCTCTTCCGGTTTTTAGGGGCTTTTCGGGGGGGCTTGTCTGGATGATTTTGCATTCAAGCCTCAGAGCCGGGCATTTCCGACTTGCGCGTTTACGCATGTTCAAGAAGAGATTGCAACATGAAACCTAAACCCCGAACCCTTGGACCCCTTCTGACCCTAAACCCTAAACCCCTTCTCACCCTACACCCCAAACCTGAAGATTCTAAGGAATCCCCATAAGGTCGCCCCTAGACCCGGAAACTGCTTCATGCCGGGACTCAGCCTCTGCAACGGGCACCACGCAGACAAAGCAGACCCGAAACCCTGAACCCTGAGCCCTAAACCCTAAGAATCCCCATAGGGTCTCAAGCCCTCGACACCCGCCCAATCTCCTTCTGGGAGCTCGCAGGCCGCAGCACCTCTAACCTTGGTTTTTTTTAAGGTTTAGGGTTTAGGGTCCTCCTTGCCCACAGTTGCAGACCACTAAAAACACGATTGTAGTACTATACCTGAAAACGGGCTAACGGCTATCTACCCGACTGGACCGGTTGATGTGGAGAGCCCCACAAGCACTAGAATGCGTCAAGTCAGGCATGGGTACGCCAAAGCTTGTCGATTTGTGGCCCAACGTTGGCGCGCAGCGCACGACCACCCGATTTATCCTGAATCTACTTACTTTCCGCAGTGGTTAACTCACTCAAGACCAACGGCATAGCTTCGTAGTCGAAAACATCAGGCACTTTCCTGTCACTACACTCACCATCGGATGTCGGTTTTCCTCCAAGCTAGCCTTGCCCAAAGAATCTGTGTCGCTGAAGGGAAAACGCTTGGCCCCAAAGTGGACCCCCCAACGCGATGCTTTTCACGGTATCCCGCCGTATTAGTTCCTGTACCTGGTCTTTGATCCAAAAAAGCAGCCTGAAGCGGCCACATCATCCTTACCGACAGGTGGCGGCCGTAGACGCGCCGTGCAGCAAAAAAAGATCAGGGCTCCCCTTTTCTGTTAAGGCTGTAGTCTGAAAAATGTTGTTGGGCACCAGCCGCAAGGATCCAAACCTCCCAAAGTCTCTGGACTCTGGACAACCTCGAAACCTCAGCGAAGCTCTTTACTCTATAGACTCTTATCAGCCCCGACAGCTCAAGCGCGCCCAGTAACGCTGCCTCGGCCCGATAGGCGGCATCCTGCAGCTACGACTGGCCTCCCTCCACACTCTGTTGTGTCCAGGCTTGTTACCTGCCTGCGGCCTGTGGCCTGTGGTTGAGGCTTTCGGGACCGTTGCGAGGGCCACGAATAGAAAGGCTCCCAGAGGCATCAACCGTTGTCGCAACTTGTTGAGGCAGCACTTCGCGCCTTCGAGCTGTGTGTAGAAGTGTGATTTGGGATGTTCCCCTTATGCTAACAGCCCTTAAGAGGACATATAATAGGGGGCACTATAAATCCCTATCAAGGACTTGGCAACCCCTGAGATACAGCCCTGTCCTCCCAGGGGGCCAGCTGGCGCGACTCCTTGACCTTGGTTGCGAAGCTGGGGGGGGGAGGGGGGGGGACAATGGTGATACCGACGTTCATGATGCTGGCAGACATAGCGGCCAAGACAAGAAACAAGAACAACATCAGCAACAGCCAACAGTAAACAAGCACAAAGCAAAGCGCAACCACCAACCAGCAACCAACGACCAGCAACCAGCCACCAACGACCAACAACCAACGACAAGCAACCGGCAACCAACAACCACAAGCGAGAACAATAACAAGAAACGATAACAACAACAATGATGACGACGACCACCGCCACCACCACCACCACCACCACCACCACCACCACCACCACCACCACCACCACCACCACCACCACCACCACCACCACGAGCACCACGAGCACCACGAGCACGACCACCACCACGACCACCACGACCACCACCACCACGACCACGACCACGACCACGACCACGACCACGACTGCGACATCAGCAACAACAGCAACAGCAGCACCACCACCAACAACACCAACAACAACAGCAGCAGCGGCAATACCAACAGGATCTCAAGACTAGCACCAAGACCAAACAACCAACAACCAACGACCAACGACCAACAACCAACCTTGACAACATCCTATGCTAGGTTTCAAGGTCCTATATATTCCATCACACACACACACCCAGACCCCCACACCACCTGACCAAGCAAAGTCTGGCGAGGGGCGCTGCAGGTGCTGGCGAGGACCCAAGATGCCAAACATGCGCAGGCGTAGTTGCTGTCCACCATGCGGTTGAATTCGAAGTAGGGCAGCTCCAGAGTTTGCCTGAAACCCCCCTTTTTTTGCATCCGGGGTTTAGGGTTCAGGGTTTCGGGTACCCTAAACGGGGTTAAGGGTTCAGGGTTTAGGGTACCCTAAACCCTAAACCTCCAGAGATTTGCCTGCAACCCTTTTTTGCATCTTGGTTTAGGGTTCTGGGTTTAGGGTACCCTTTTGCAACGAGCTTGGCTATGCTCCCGCCCGCCTTGGCTGTCCCAATACCCAGGGTACCCTAAACCCTAAACCGTGATAGGTTGAAGTTGAAGATTCGTAGACAGCGGGCGAATGCCTGGGTTGTAGAAAGTTGTGGGCACCTATCACGATCCCACCTTTGTCCTACAACCGCATATGTCGCAGACCACTGGGCCTCCTGTCATGGAAGTAGCGCCTGTTCGTGGACGGAACCTCCTCCCTAAACCCTTTTTGAGCAACGGACTTTGGAGGCTGCCGGCAAACATGCAACTTCTCAGAAGTCACCTCACGCAAAACATCACGCAAACTGCCTCCCTAAACCCTACACCCTAAACCCTAAACCTGTGATCCCTACCGGCATAAGATCCTGGAATCGCCCCAGATGGGGTTTAGGTAGTCGGCAAACCCCCGTGTGTTTTGCAACCTTTTAAATCTAAAGCAGGCTTGCGGCTGGACCCTGATTAACTCCATCAACCTAAATCGAAGAAGCTTCTTGGCGGCTGAAGTTGCTGGTAGGACTGGACCACGTAGTCGGGGATCTCTGCTGGCTCGAAGGTTTGCAGCCTTTCCAGGAATTGATCCAAGTCCACGAGCATCGCCTTCGCAGTGTGCCAGTCGATCTTCCTTAGACGTCAGGGCCCTCAACCCCTAAACCCTAAACCCTTTTTACGGCTAGGACTGCACCCTAAACCCTAAACCCTAAACCCTGAACCCGGACCCTAAAACTCCCAGAAAGCTCCGGCAACATCTTCAATGCCTGCACGCGACACCTTTGCATCTTACCTGACCTCCTTGTCATCTTGTACTTATGTCACGTTTCGTTGGAAATTGAGCGGTTCCAGCGGTTCAAATTCATCCAGGAAGGAACTATTTATGACCGAAGCTGCCTTGAGCAAGCTTGTGCCGGAAGCAAGATCAACCGTAGTTATTCCAAAGTCGAACTCTGCTTGTAAAGCATGGATGTATGTTACACAGACGCACTTGCATCGTATATGCCACTTGAGACCTCAACCCAGAAATCTCCAATGGGGCAGCCCAGCATCTTTTATTAAAACCCCCTTAAAGCCCTAAAACACCCTAAGTAGGCCTAATAAAAAAGGGTTCGGAATAAAAGCCTAGCATCTTGCTACTCTTCCAAAGAAGGTTGTGGGCCGCTGCGCACACTGCCAGAGCGCCTCCGAAACAAGCACCGGAACCCGGGTGTCCCAACACCCCGGGACACGACAGGAAGGTCGGGCATCTTGGGAAATACACAACGTACTCACGGTTTAGGGGTTTAGGGTTTAGGGGTTTAGGGTTTAAGGGTTTCAGGGTTTAGGGTACTCACTGCCTCCACGTCCCTACGCGCTCGGTGGGGTACTTTCATCCTGCTAGGACCCACGTATCGGCTAGAATCCCCAAACGCGCATGACATGACGATCTAGGTCATCGCGCCGCAGCCACACACACACACACACGGCACCACGAGCAAGGAAACTCTTAAGCTCCAAGAAAACGAACGAACAAAAAAACCTGTTGCTACATAGCCACGGAAACAGAGATTTCTTTGGCATCCGGGTTCAAGCCTGGCCTTTTGGCGGCTTGTCAGCGAGCTCTGCTAAGCTAGCCCTCCCCTTCTCTGAAGTCAGTTGGTTCACAAAGACCTCGGCACGCTTGGCTCCTGTCTGACTGTCGCGCACGCGCTGCAGCTTATGATGGGCGGCTTGAACATGGGCTTCGAGGACACTGGATCGCTCCTGGTCTTGGCCATCGCCCGACCCAGCTTTGACAATCCAGTTTACGAATTCTTCGTACTGGATCTTTCCATCACCATTTGTATCGATGTGCTTCAACAGCTGTGTCATGTCCTTTTTATCCAGCGTAAGCTTGGACAGCACGGACAGAAGCTCCTCTGCCGTAATGATGCCATCGCGGTTCTTGTCGAACCTCCTGAAAATGTCCGTGACCACCTTTCCATCCATCCTCGAGCTATAAGCTCCTCTAGAATCTGCACTCCGCCCCTTGAGCCAGAGGCTCAGGAACCTTAAGCTATGCGGCTGACATGGCACTCTCTTACTGCGCAAAAGCCCGCACCCGGCAAATGACAGCACCGGGCCCCACGCAGACTCACGCAAGCGCGTCTCCATCTCGGAGGCCATGACCTCGTCAGAGTCACAGGCAGCGGCCCTCGAACCGCCCTGCAAGCCAATATCTCAAAAGAAACCCTGTCTTAAACCCTAACCCCGATAAATCCTAACCCCTAATCCCTAAACCCTAATCAAAACAGCCAAAGGGCGTTGTGGCCCGCACCTAAACGCCCAAAACACCCGGTGAGCCCATGCCCTCCCAAACTTGACCAGCTGCCTGGAACGAATTTTGGGATTCTACGGGCAGAAGGTGAGGGGGTTCCCCCAAAAACAAGGGGTACCCTTTTTGAGGCTTCCTACAGTCAGGAGTCTACCAGGGTACCCTTTTTGGAGTAGACTATTATGAGGCTTATAAGGTGGTCCCCTATTTGGCCAGCGAGGTCAAGCTACTCCACTACCCAGCTTCCAGTCGTTATCCGGGTTCAGGCTTCCCTAAACCTTAAACCCTCAATGTCTAAAACCTAAACCCTAAACCCTTAATGTCTAAAACCTGAACCCGCCGAACCCTAAACCCTTAACTGCTTCCTTGTTGGGGTCATATTGACAATAATCATGTTCCTTCCTTTTTTGGGAATTTAATAGGACAAAAATGTCAAATTATAACGAACAAGGACCCAGTTAACCCTCAGCCCTACACCCTAAACCCTCCACAGCCCCAGACCCGGCCTCGATCTCCTTGTATTTCTGCCTCAGGGCTCGAGGCTTCATTGGGGCAATGAGGGTTTCATCGCCCACACTCGGACGAGAGACACTCAGTCAATGAGGGTTAAGGGTTTAGGGTTTAGGGTGCAGCACTTCTTGTCGGATACTTCTTTGCATGAAGTGGCAGTCGAAGAGCCCACGCCCAGAATCCCGTGACCCAGCCATGTCATATCACGATGACAGGTTGCATGATAGTTGTCGGGGTTGGCAAACCCGGGAAAACGACAACTGGCACTGAGTCCGCGGCCCATCGACCTCCAGCGACATCTTTCACCACGATCTTTCGCAGCGCTGCCCCCTCGGCCTGCTTCTGATTTCACGGTTGTGGTTGTCCCCACCCCACCCCAACTCACCCACCCCAAGCGTAGCTCTTCAAGTCAAAGTTTCTAGATCTGCTAGACTCTAGATGGCATCATGGCAATGCCGCGGAAAAAAAAAACAATATGTATATGTGTATATATATGTAGACAGATAGATAGACAGATAGATCGACCATAGAAAGATCGGTAGATAACTGATTCATACCTTCGACATCGGACCATGCTCTTTGTCTACAACGCCACTTGTGTGGGGATGCTGAAATTCTCAATGTTGGCAACTGGCCATCCGATTCACGCTCCCTCAGAACAATCCGAAGTTGCAAAACCCAGGGTTTAGGGTTGAATTCTTGCTGTCGTCCGGTGCCTCGAAGCCTCTCGCCGCCTTTGGCGGTGAGGCCCCAAGTAAAGCATTCACTGCAGCCTGAACACAGTTGGGAAGCTTGTCGGACTTGTCGGGTCTGGGGCCAGTTCTGGGATGAGGGATGAAAGATATCATACATCATACACCCAAGGGGCATCGCAAAGTTGCTATGGCTACTTAGCGTATCATAAGCCCTAACCTGTGAATTGTGAATCCTGGGCCCAATACAGCCCCAGCACCCAGCAGTTGTCTCGCCTACACCTGATTACGCTTTACTTCTCGCCCAACTCAGAAGAGGCAAGTGGCTTTAAGTGCTGGTGGACTGGTGGATAGTGGATAATGGGAAAACCTGAAAACTGGAGAAAAGTGCGCTTTTATTGGAATCCCAGCCTGCATGGCCTTACAGTGCTTTTGCAAGCTAAAAGTTTGTGCATCGATGCTACTGATACTGCACTTTCATATGTGCCTACGAGCGCCTTCATCGTTCACCATGCCCTGTAGATCCTGGAGGGATCCCATGTAAATGTAAACATGAAGCCATCAGCTTCACGGACCAAAAGCCCTGAATCACTTCCTTCCTTCCTTCCTTCCTTCCTTCCTTCCCCCGAGGAGCCGACCCGAAGGGTGTGCTCCACCGAGTCAGTTGGTGTGATGCTAGCACAATACACAGAGTGGAGTTTAGTTCCGCCCCGCAGGACATGAATATCCGAAGCTAGCTAAGAACCACGCAAAAACGCGGAACCACTCTCTCTATCTGTCCCTTTCTTTCTTGTTGTAGGGGCATGCAGGGGGACTCTCTGCACGCCTCGTGCACATACATACTGCGGCTCTCCGAAACAACTCCGTCGAAGTGTTGCCCCTGGTGTTTTTTACTGTCCCCGGCTCGGCTACGGGCCGTGAGGGGGATGTGAAGGGAGCAGCTGCATCCCTCTCTCCCTAAACCCTAAACCCTTGTCCCTAAACCCTAAACCCTAAACCCTAAACCCTTGTCCCTAAACCCTAAAGCCTAAACCCATGTTGACATCACTGGAGAGCCAAGTCCGCACCGAGGCCCTGGCTGGAGGCTAAGTTGCCCAAGGCTGGCTCTACTACGCAGAGGCCAGCTTGGTCCAAGAGGGCAGCGTAGTTCAGGGTTGCGGGTTCGGATTGAGGTTTCTGTATAGTCCACACACACATACACACATACACACATACATGCACACATGCATGCATGCATGCACATGTTCATATGTATGTATATATGCATTTATGTATGTATACAGTTTTGCGTGTGTATTGGTATACAGATATCCAATCACAATGTATTTATTTAGTTTAAGTTCGCGCATGCTTTGTTCATAAGTGTTTAACTCTTTCGAAGCCGAGCTTGATGACTGCCAGCACTCACATGCCCCGCCTGCTATTCAGGGAAAGGCATGAGAACCTTAAACCTTGAAGCCGTTTTCCAACCCCAAGCCCTAAGCCCCAAACCCTGAAGCCCTGAAACCCGAAACCCAAAGCAAAGTACAATCCGTCGGCCATGTGATGTGGTCCGCGCATCCTAAGGAGGGCCACACCAAGCCAGTGGGGAGTTCTGCGATTTGGGGGATTTCCGTAATTGGGGGGTACCTTCTTGGGGCCCTTACTATAAGGGAATCCTATGATTTGGGGGGTCTACTTTAGGGGTCCCCGATTTTCGGAAACCCCCATTTTGAGTGCTCCGCTTCTTGGGGGGTATCTTCGGGGTTTAGAGTTTAGGGTTAGGGTTTAGTTTAGGGTTTAGAGCTTAGGGCTTAGGGCTTAGGGTTTAGGGTTTAGGGGGTATCTTCAGGGAGCAGTGCGGGTGGGGGGCTCCTCAACAGCTCCCAGACTCCATTAGGGTTGAGGGTTAAGGTGGCCCTAAACCCTAAACCCTAAACCCCAAACCCTGAACCCTGAACCCTGAACCCTGATTTGGGTTTAGGATGGTTTAGGGCTTAAGGTTGAGGATGGCAGGTGGTTGAGTCCTTGATGTGTGGGCGAAGGACCCCTTCTCCAACACCTCTGCCATTTTCCGGTGTACGAGCGGCTCCAATCTGCCCATGTGCAAATAGAGGTTCTTGTTAAGGAACCTAAACCCTAAACCCGAAAGCCTAAACTCCTAACTCCTAACTCCTAAACCCGAAACCCTATAGCAAGTTACCGATCCACGGGCCTGTAGTAAAGCATGCGGCTCTGATGGTAGCTGAACTTAAGTTCCTTGACAAGAGCCAAAGAAATTATATACGAAGCGCCGCGTCTGCCCTGACATGTCGCATGCAGCTTATCTGAGGGTGCTTTGGTCTAAGAATCTAGTACACTATGACAAAATTCGCCGTCTAAGGCCACGTCCAAAGTGTGGGCTTGTGACAGGCTTCAAGAAAACCCCGTGACAACTGTAGCATCAGATCTCATTGCATGGATTCGCTCGTCAAGGTATGGAAGCATTATCAACAAGTATGTAATCAGGTCATACTCTTATACTAGTTACGGGTAAGGGTACCCAGCTATCTAGACCCTGTGGGGTAAAAATGTCTTGCTGTAGATGTGCGCTTTAACTAGGTATAGGGTTTAGGGTTTAGGGTTTAGGGCGTGCTCTTGCACAGCAACTGTCGAAAGGCAGCCGGCGGAAGCGTGGGGAGCGAGGCATGTCGGCCGCGGGCACAACACGTACACTACTATTTGCTTAAGAATCCCCCCCAAAAAAAACAAACCTTCCTTGCAAGTTTAATATCGGGAATTATGTTTCCTATTCTTTCTTAAGTAAATAGTATTGGAAGGCAACTGCGCAGCTCCATCAGCCAGATTGGTAGACATGAGACTTGCTTGAATCAACTGTAGAACTCTTTCGGTGTATTGTGCCCGCTGCTACCTGCGAGGGTGATGACCTGGGTTTTATGTGCAGCGTGGCTTCGAGTTCGGCCATGAAGCACAAGCCTTTCGGCATCGCGTCTGACTCACTGAACTGGCCTACAAAGCGCAACTTTGCTTGAAATTATGCACGCTCCCTGCATGCCTGGAGGCCAACGTAAGCCTGAAGCTACTACCAAACGACCGAGAAAATCTAGAGTCTAGAGCCCTTCCACGCAGTCCTTGCTCCTGTAGTGAGGGTATCCGGTGTGTGTCGACCAATGAGCTGCAGCAGTGTCAGCAGTGGCCAACGTCGGTCAAGTTCTCACTGTCACGTTACTAACATACCGTCTGCACATGAAACGTTCAAATCAGGTGCACCACCAGCTTCCAAAGCTAGGTCCCGGAAAACTGCTGAGCACCAAACGACTTGTGCGTGTCTCCGCCACTCATTGTGCTGGCTGCTTCAGCTTGTCCAGCCCAGATACAATCTGACAGGACCAAGAGGGATTTGCCCGGCTCTCTCAGCATGCAATGGCTAACAATTTCGCTGAGGCTAAAGTGCTGCATGATGCATTTTCTTCAATAGGTAACAGCTAGATCATGCTATTGCGCAGCTCAGGGCACGCTGGGCACAGCTTACCGTACAAACGAGAGGGAAAGCCTTGATCTCTTTGACGATGTCTCCTTGCTTGATCTTCCGGAGGAAATCGCCGCCTGCCGTAACATAACCTGAGCTCAAATATATCACCAGCTGCACTCCACCGATTGCACATCCATGCACATCCGACATGCTCTGCAATCGACTGTCCAAGTGCTGCTCGAGCTTTTCCAAGAAAGCCTGGGACGCGAGCCAAAGGATCCATATCGGCCGTCGAAAAGGTTCTTGCCAGCCGGAGTCATGTCCTCAGTGTGCAGTCATTAGAGACCCCGTAAAAATCCCATGGCTCTGACCGTCAGGATAGGTTTTTCCCAGCTGCCTTGCGCTGATGAGTCATACAGCTACGGCCCAACACAGCTTTTCGCAGGGCTAAACCGCAGTGTCGCCACTAGCATCATGCTTGCCACGATGCATGTGCGTTGGCACATGAAACCCCACATATACCTCTGAAGGGCCGCATCTGCACCAAGATCTTGAAGCAACAGGCTGAGGAAGCAGCCCGAAAACTGGTGAAAGAAGCAAAACGATGGATCCCTTGATCCCGTTCCACTGGCTCCACCAACGTGAGCTTGGCAGATGACGACAAGAACCATGCCCTCCAAAAGCTGCATGGTACTTCTGGACCCATTCGTCTAGAGGCAATGTGCTCGGTGGGAGGGGAGAACATTATGTAATTGAGTCCCAAAATCTCGGCTGTACCTTCAAGGCATAGGCTCCAGGATATTCTGCCAGGCTGCGCCCTAGCCAGCTACTGACCCTGTGGTTCTGCTTTCCGGTTGGAGACGGCATCAAAGTCCGATGTTCTTACACTTGTCAGAAGTGCCTTAGGCTGCTCTTGCATCTGTTTACAAGAATTGGGGTGAAGAAAAGCAATGTGACTTTTTGAGGGGTTCTGCTTCGGCCTACAAAATTTTGGACCACATTGGCACCTCCTGAATTCCCATTGCTTGACTACGGGCGACAAGTTGACCTTTGATGTGTTTTGTTGTCTGGGGATTGTTCTGTATTCGGGTCCCATGATAGGTACATACCAGTTGGACCCCTATAGTCTAAAGCCACCATCAGAAAAGCAGCACCCGCTGTTCGAAACCCATGTCTTCTGAACACCACCTCAGGAGCTCAGATGGCGGTAGACGTCCTGGTTCGCCGGGAATGAACTTCGGCCTGCAGGAGAGGGCTTTACGTCTTTGAGGTCAGAGGAGAAACCTTAAGGGTAGCCCATATAATAAGGGCACCCTTTTGTGGGCCTTGGTTACATGATAAGGGAACCTTAAGCCAAAAAGAAAGGGAAAGGGTACCACTGGGCTACCGAGGAATAAAAAAGACAAGGTTCCAAGTGTTTGTACCAAACCCTAAACCCTCAACCCTAAACCCCTTATCAGCTCGGGGTTTCGGAGTTGGCCGCAGCCCCCTGGGTTCATCGAGCGCGGAGATGCACTCGGCAAGGCTCGAGAGTTGAGAGATGCTGTGGCCGACATGGACTTCAAGGTTTTGAGGGAAGGGCTTATGAGGGTTTCGGTGCTTCAGTGCGTCAAAAAGTGGATGTGGATGGCCTGGTGAGAACAACTGCAAGGGAACTTTCGGGGCATACATCTGGTCATGACATGGTTATGAAGAACTCTCGTGATCCCGTATGCAATCTAGGGCAACTCGACCGGGCCAAGAAGGCAGAGCCAAGTTCCAGCAGCCATTTGCTAGAAGTGGAACCAAAGAAAAGAGCTATGCTCCCGTGCAGCCTCTCCAGTAGCCCAGCGCATATGTGCAAAGACACATGCCGCATGCCACCGCCACGCTTACGAGCGGACCTGGGCAAAATGTTGTGGCTGTGCTGGGAGCGGTTTCACATAAACCAAGTAAAACTGGGAAAGCCTAAACCCTACACCCTAAACCCTAAACCCTGTGTTAGGGCCTCCTTTGCTTCATCTCATCTCTGCTGTCCCCACACTGATGCCCGCATTCTGAGCACAACACCCTCACTCGCAGCGACGAAGCTGGTTGCACCTGGGATCTTGGAAACGTGTGCCAAAGCAGCCTCGTTAGGCTTTATAGGATTTAGGGTTTAGGGGGGGGGGGGGGGTTGTAGACTCACTCCTGTGTGGGCTCGTGCTGCCACACCCCGAAAAGCAAAGCATGCACATGAGGCCACGGCTTGCGGGCGCGCCACCACCGCGAACCTTATTCAACTCGCGAAATTCGGGATTCGGGATTCTGCACCCTAAAGTGCCCTAAAGCCTTAGCCCTGCACCCCTGCCAACATCACTCCAGGATCAAGAGAGCAGCCTACACACCCTGCCCGTCCATTCTTTGGTTCAGTACAGAAAGAAAAAAACGTGATAACGACCATGACACAGTGGACTGCACCAAAACCGTTCCAAAACAAGTCGTCATTTCTGCAACAGCTTCTTTCATCAATCCAGCAAAAGTATCCTGCAGATCCTTTACATCACGGATGAGATTCAATCTGACCTTCTTTGACCAAAGCCCTCAACACGAACCTGCGAGGCTGCCAAGGCCTTAAGCCATCCAAGTCTGAAACTCCCCTAAACCCTAAACCCTAAACCCTCAACCCTCCAACCCCGACTCTAAGCCCTAAACCCTAAACCCTAAACCCTTAATTTCATGCTCCACCCAGCAGCGCCCCACTTCAGGACTGGTGCAAGGTCACTCAGACGGTCCTGCCATCCCCCCCAAAGAGCCTCTAGGGTTTAGGGTTTAGGGTTTGGGGTTTGGGGTTTTAAAAGGGTTTCCTTGCCCTAGTTGCTGAGTAAAGGTTACCTACTCAGCTACTCCTTTTGTTCTGCGCCTGGGCGGTATGACGGTATGAAAACATAAGTATGGAACGATACACAGCTAGACCCTGTTCTTTGCTTCGGGGCTACCTGTTCCTGAGGGTGTGGGCATGGGCTTAAGTTGAATCTCCAATAACTATTACCAGTCTTGCTTGATAGTGCTGCTCACCCCCATTTCCATACATCTTCCATGCCCTCTCCACGCATCAGTTCGACCTCAAATCTGCCCACCGGGAGGAAGCTACTCAAGATTCGTGCAGTATTACGTAAAGTTTGATCGTAAAACCCTAAACCCTAAACCCTAAACCCTAAGGCCCTAAACCCTAAAGATGTTGCGTTTTCGAGTCGGTTGGCCTCTTAGATTCAGACGTACCTGCCCAGGTTCGCTGGTTGAGTTGGCTCCAGAGCGGCACTGGTTCTTGACAAATTTTACACCTTTGGCGCCCCACCCCTAAGCCCCAAAGCCAAAACCCTAAAACCTACACCCTAAACCCTCCTTGATCATCTGGGGGAGCAGTGATGGCGGCATGAGGGAAGGCAGCACCCAGTGTGGCCTGCTTGGGGAGCTTCTTCTGACTCAAACAGCCCTAACAGCCCTAACACCCGAATTAGCTCAGGCCCCTCTGAGCCTTAAACCCTAAATCCCTTATTAAACCCCACAACCTAAACCCACAGCTAGGGAAGGGGAAGGGGGGGGGGGGGTAGGTGGAGGGAGGTGGTGCTGTGGCCGAGAAGTGCATAACTTAGGGCTGGGATCCCTCCCTGGACCCCAATTGTCGACCCACAAATCGCTCGGCCTTGGCTTCAAGTGTTTAAGGGCTTGAGGTTTAGGGTTTCGGGTTTTGTAGTTTGGGGTTTGAGGGTGTAAGGGTCTGCAGTTTCAGTTGTTCACCTGTTGTTTTTTTTGGTGAGGCGGGGTCGGCGACCCGACCATGCTTGTGCTGCAAAGTACCGTGCGAGTACGAGAAGCCGGATGCACCAGCAACTGACCTTCCAAGAAGAGCTGTTCTTTATGCACGAGCAACTAACCTTCCAAGAAGAGCTGTTCTTTACTGAATTTACTGTGCCCACAATTATGTCTTAATGTTTCGAGTCGTGCTGAATGCCACCCTAGGGCTACCCGAAATCCGAAATTAAAACAACAAAAATGAGACTTGGGAACGTATTTGGGACACCAGTTGACGGGGTGTGGCGACTGCGGTGACAAGCTGGAGGGCCGGTGGGGCAAGCTCTGAGGCTCTGGGGAAGGATTGCCTGTAGAATTCCTGGTTAAAGCCGATCATCTCCAGCCAGAACGCAGGATAGCCGATGCTCCCGACCTCCAAATTCACTCTGAGCAAGGAACCACCTACATAGACGTAGCGCAGTCTGTATTCTCTGGAATGTCACGAAGCGGGTCTGTCTTACAAATACGAACTCAGGCGTCATGCGGCTCTTTTTATGTTGTTCATGCAAGTCACACAGGACTCAGTTGAAAACGACAAGACAACCAAAAACAAAACCGGTCCTCCGCTTTGCGAGAAACTTCTCCCAACATGGATCTCTACGCGTCGGAACGGCCCTCAACTCGCGAGCCTGGTGAGGTGTTTCCGGCGGGTAGTTGTAGAACATGTCGTTGTATCTGACCTGCCACAACAAGTGGCCGTCTGGCTGATCTTCGTCTGCTGTTACGTCTGCGACTACTCGTGTTTTCCACACTGACGTACCCGTACTGTGCCACGAAGTCCGCGACCACCACCATCAGGACTATACGACCATGACGACAACAACGATACTGCTACTACACTCCTACCATCTCCTACAGGTGGAGCAGCTATGACCAATCACAACATCTTCCCATGGCTGCCAGAAATTGGGGAACTAGTCCCGGACGAGGAGCCACGAGCATTTCTGCCAAGGCCCACCATTCCTCGGTGACGTTCCGCTGAATTTTGCCTTGGCTTCCGGGAATCTTCGCTCCAGGGACCTGATTCCTCTTCAGCTCAGCTACTAGTAGGCTAAGGGCCTTAAACTCCGAGGCTACAGCCGATAAAAACACACCAAAGCCCTGAACTTTCAAGCCCTAAGTCTGAAACTTAAAGCAAAAAAGGTTGCACTTTCCTAAATGATGGTCCCTTTTTGGGATCCCTTTCTAAAGGGTGCCGCCTCATACTGGGTACTAAACCAAAAACGGGACCTTATACTACTATTTGCTGAAGCAACCCCCCCCCCAAAAAAAAAAAAAAGCTAAACAATATTCTTCCTCATGAGGGGAATACAGGGATTCTTATCTTTCATTCTTTTTGGGGTTCTCAAGCAAAACCCTAAACCCCTCAACCCTGTAGTGGAATCTACCCAAGGGCAGACAAGTCCGAGTTCCCCGGCTTTGGTGCTCCGCCAAGTGTTTCGCTGCAGAGGCAGCCTTCATCTTGTCCTCAGCGCATCTGGGGTTTAGGGTTTAGGGTTTAGGGTTTAGGGCCCGTGTCTCCCAACGACGCTGGCAATGAACCACTCCCTGCTTCGGTTTCTGCACACCCTGCCTCTCCCTCACTTCCATATATACACACACGCGCACACACACACATATCGACATACATATATACGTACATATGTATGTACATATATACATAACTTATACATACATAATCTACGATGCCCTTTTTTCTTTGTTTTACCATATGAAACTGTGATTTTTCAGGTTTAGCTCATGCGGTCTGGCCATCTGATCTCCCAGTTCAGTCTCCTCGACGAAGCTTGATTTTCGCCGTGCTGCTCCGGCCTTCTTCCTGATTCCACGCCGGTCCTTGCCTACTACCCTTCGATGTAGGGAAGCCAGGTTGAGAAAAAGAAAAGGCGCATTCCAGAATGTAGCCGAGTTGACGGCGGCTCGCGCGCACGTAATCGGGCGGGGGGGGGGGGGGGTGAAGGAGGGCGCTGCCCCTGAACTTCTTAGTCAAAGATCAGCCCCCCCGCGTCCCCACTTCCATCAGCCCCCACAGAACCCTCGTTGCCAGAGCAGACAAGGTGCGGCTCGGTGGAGAGCCTCCTCGGTTTCCCGGACCACGCGAAGCTGCGTGGATTGCACTGCAGGGTACACGTACTGCTCCTGGCGAAGAGATGGGGACAGGGTGTGGGCTGCACAGGGCTGGCAGTTAGTCACTGAAGCACTTCACTCTCAACCCTAGGTGGCACACTTGCTGCGCAGACAGAGTTTATCAAGCTTCAACACAAGACACATTGTAACTCTACTCATGGGCTAGGAAGCGGCACTCCACTCCACCAGGCTCCTCAACAATGTCACTTCACCCCGCCCCCCAAGGCCGAACCCCAGGCTCTCAAAGCCCTAAACCCCTATAAAATCTGGATTTAGGGGGTCCATAGGTTTAATACGTGCATATTGTTGGAGGTTTGTAGAGTTCGGAGCAAGCCACCAGCTCAGCTAGAACGCTCCATTGCGTAAACGCAAGTCCGAACCCGCCCACCTAAGTAGATCCTATCGTCGTGCCATTCTGCTACTGCTGGGAATGCCGAATGTTTGCCCTAGACTGAACTATGAGGACGATCGGGCAAGAGGCTAAGGGCACATGGTACTTTTTGGGTCTCCGCTTAAAGTACAGTTCCTCTTGGGCACTAAGACGGTCAGGACAACCCCATATGGTTGCCGGATGTTGTTGGAGCATTTTCGGCCCAAGGCTTTTTTAGAGGAATCCTACATCGTTACAGTTACACTAGATGCAAGCAACAAACATGCGGGCCTTCGCGTCTATGCAGCTAAGCTGCTGACATGTTCTGGTAGGAAACCTCCATCCAGTTCGCCACGAAGTCCTCGGACACTTCAGGTATCAAAAGCACTACTTGGAACAGAAGATGTCACCTGCGTCCTCTTCCGGGGAACAATCCCCAGGCCAACTTGTAACCCTGGCCACGTCCCAGTGCCCTATAGTGCCCTACTACCCTGTTTTGACACGGGCTCGAACTGAAACATTCCCAAGCCCGTGTTCACAAGACTGTTCGCCCTGTACGTTCTTCGGTCGCCCCGTTGCCGCTCGGCCTCCTGCGTCAAACCACACAGGCAATACCGAACTGCACTCCGGGTGTCGAATGCCCACCAGGCTGGTCCAATGCCTTTATGGTGAGAGAAGGCGAAGGACTTTTGGGAGCCAGTTCCATAGGCCTCCACATCAAACCTGGCTGCAGAGGTTTTGGACTCCAGGGGAAAGACTTCGGTCAAGGGCTAGGGTTGGGGAGATTGTGCCTACTGCAGAGGATCTGGCAGAGCTTGTCGTCGTCCTAACTTCAGGTAAAGAAGCAATTTTGCGGGGAGGGCAGCTTTAGAAGCCACATAAAGCCACTCCCCAACCATCGCCAACTGCAACACTGGATGCCTTACAGCTTGGTGCATGGCCATTTGGTGCAAGGTACTTGCCGTCAGCGTCTGAGAGGACAGAAGCGAAGAACGGGACGAAGACTGATGACGCCGAGGTATCCGCTGCAAACCAGACCTTCAGGGATTCTGGGCGTCATCAGCTGTCATCAAAGGTTGGCAGCCCAAGTCCGTAGAACACCCTTTGCAACACTTGCGAGAATCATATGCGCGCACCCGGTAGAAGCTAGAGAGAGAGGCTGGATTCCGCCACAACTAGATATTCTCAAGGGCTCGGTAACTACAGCGCAACACTTGAGCACCAACGACTTCTCAGTCATGGTTGCACACACCCTCAGAGATTCCGGCTTTACACCTCAGATCTTACACCCCCAAGTTCATGCACACAGCTTATGGCTGGGCTGGTCATGTCTCTACTGCACCCAATATATACTCACAAGATCGTCAGAGGAGAAGAACGTCTGCGTCTGCTTCTCTACATACGTTCTTGCACCGGCGGCACGCTGGACCCCATCCTATAATTGCGCAGAAAGCCACGCGCGGCTGATGGATGGGACCAGTCTGCACAATCTGCGTGTAGGAGGTGCGCCCGATGGAGGTAGATCGGGCAAATTGGCCAGGAACCTTGGCATTCCCCAGAGTTCACTTTCCCGAGGCTCTGCTTGCTTAATGTTTTGGGGGGTATGCGGCCATGCCCTATGTAAAATAAAGGAATCAAGGGGTTATGACTCAGGAAACTGTCAGGGTTGTGCCAGGTATAGCCTTGCTCACTATATACACCATCTCACATTAGGAGCCCAAAATCGGCATCCACAATGTCATTTCGGGAAGCGGCTTGCGACATGTCATTTCAGGAATCTGAGCCAAGCAGCCGCCTTTGCACCATTGCCCCCCTCAGCGCGGTTGGGCGACTGCCAGGGACCAGCGAGGCTGCCGTAGCGCATGTCAAACTCGGTGCCTTCGTAGTGTGTTCGGAACCAATTCATCACGTCCTCCCAGGACAGGCGCTTCGAATTTCGTGCGGGATGGGATTTTGAAGTCATTGGCACACACAACTCCATGCTCAGCGGGCATTTAATGGATCCCGAACCGCCGCTGAGACTTGGTGCATCTGCGTGGCTCCGATATGTGCCGGGGGTCGTGGTAGCCGGGTAACACGAAAGGTGCATGAAACATGTTGTGGCCATCCTGGTGCCGTTTTTCTTGGAAGTTCCACCGAAAACCATTTTGCTGAGTCATAGTTCCCCTACCTGGCAAACGAATGAGTGGCCTACAGGGAGAACGGAAGGTGCCGACCTGGACAGTCGCCTTGCCATCCACCGGCACGGAGAATGGAAAGCTGCCCCTGAGGCTGCCGATGCTTGAGATGCTGGGGATGTCGGGTTCTAGTGGGTCTTCTCTTTCAATGCCAGGGCTAAGTTACGACTCTCACGCACCGGGGGGAAAAAGCGCGCCAGGCCAGCACTGAAACTCGCCGACTCCCGCCACGCGAAGACATCGACTTTCGCCCAACCCAGCAACCCTAAAAACCCGACCCGCCCTTTAGGGTTCAGGGTTCAGGGTTCAGGGTTCCCTACCCTTAAACCCTGAACCCTAACTAGCTGCAGTCAGGTATCAGGTCTGGAGTGGGCTGGAGGCCGGCGCTGGGCGAAGACTGGCGATAGACGCCCCACATGCCTGCAAGCGTGAATTCTGGGTGTAACGTCAAACATAGCCAACATGTCATCCCTACGCACTTGAGGTTGATCCCTCCTGCATAGCTGGGTTGGGGGTTGGGGTGGCGGGGGGGGGGGGAGCGGTGAGGCACCCCCCCCCTGCCCGAGCCCCCTCCACCCTACATTGAAGGGCTGAAGCCTTGAGGTTTTGGGGGTTCTTGGGTTCAGGGCCTTGGGTTGAAGAAGGCTAAGTCCAGGTTTGGGGTTCAATGAGTCTAGGTTCTGGGATTTAAGGGTTAGGGTTCAAGGCATAGGGTGCGTGGCTCCTGGATTTTAAAACGAAAATGGGTTCCGGGTAGATATTCGATACCAGAGTAGCGAGCTTGACACACGAATGTTTGGACTTGAGATGCCGAACCCTCTCAACCCTACACCCTAACCCCTAAAACCCTAAACCCTAAGGCAGCTGGGCGTCGCAGGGTCGAGTACATGGGGATCGGCGCCAGGCCAGGGAAATAGCCTGGCCACGTGGCGGCCAAACAGAAGCAATTGAAAACCCTGATATAGGGTTTAGGGTTTAGGGTTAGGGATATAAGTGTCTCCAAGAAATAGAATAGGGGGGGGTTACTAAAACATATTTTGTAGGGACCATGATAGTCCTTTATTCCGACCCCTATATTCGGCCACTCAGGGCTTTCAAAGGTGGTTTTAGGGGTTGTTCTCAAGAACCCTTTCTGACTCGCAGTGCAGGGTGACATCGCCTCACCATTCCGGAGAGCCCCCAAAACACCCCAAACCCTAAAACCTAAACCCTAAACCCTAGACTTGAAACCCTAAACCCTAAACCCTAAACCCAAGCCTACCCTAAAACCCCTAACTTCCGCACCGGGCAGCTGAAAGTGGCCAAGTCGGGCTGGACGATCCTCTGCCAATCCAACGGGCTGGCTCCATTCCAGAGTCCCGACTCCTGCACCCGAAACCCAAAACCCTAAACCCTAAACAACCCAAAACCCATCCCAAACCCTAAACCGTTCGGGTGCGGATGAGAAAACCCGAAGTCCATGGGCGTGGGCTCTAAATCCCTCACAAACACTCTGCCCCACCTGAGCACTGTCGTATCAATCAACGTGGACGTGGGCAGGGTTTAGGGTTTAGGGTTTGGGGTTTGGGGTTTAGGGTTTGGGGCTTAGGGTTTAAGAGCTTTTCATCAATGCTTGTAGCCTTCTCCCTTGCTAAAACTAGACCACAAGACCTTGTGTTGTAAGGCCTTTGGGCCCAAAAACCTTAACAGAAGAGCCCTGAAACTTAAGCTATAGCAAAGTTCTTGATCGAAGGCTTCTGTCTTAGTGGTTCAGCTCAGCAGTTCCATGTGTTCAGAATCTGACACGTCGGTGGGGGAGCTTGGGAACTAACATTGTGAATCTTGTGTGTGTGTGTGTGTTTAGGGTTCAGGGTTGAAGGGTTTGAAGGGTTTATAGGGTTTACAGGGTTTATAGGGTTTAGGGTTTATAGGATTTAGGGTAGCATTGTGGAGGATTCGCCGGCCGCATTTGCCGAGCTCATGCAGGCCTTGAGGAGATCCTCGAGACCGGGATGGGCCATAAAGTTCTCCTTGTCCTCCAAGTGCACGGTGCGGATGATCATGCCTGCCGTTTAATTAGGGTTTAGGGTTTAGGGTTTAGGGGCTGCAGGGCTTCACCAGCTCCCCATCAGAATCTCCATGTTAGGAGCAGATTTTTAAATGAGTACCCTCAAAATCAGGCTGCGTTCGCTAGCGCAAGAAAAACCAAACCCCCCCCCTCCACTCCACCCCAACCCCCCACCACGCATCATCATAGAAGCCCAAAGAAGAAACCTAAACGTCCGTAACCACCCGATAAAACTAAACCCCCGCCTGGACCTCCCACCCTAGACGCTAAACCCTAAACTTCCTAAACCCTAAACCCTAAACCCTAAACCCTAAACCCTAAACCCTAAACCCTAAACTTCCTAAACCCGAAGCTTCCCTTGCGGTGCAGAGCGGCTGTTGGCAATGACCGCCACGTGGCCGCTGGGCACTCTCCTTACTGTTGGTTAGTAAGGCCTGTATCCCATAAAAAATATACCCTTTAAGGGATTATATAGGGTACCCTATATCCCCCCATATACACCCTTTAAGGGATTACATAGGGTAACTCATACCCTCTATCCCGCCATATAAGGGAGTCTATAGGGTACCTCATACCCTCTATCCCCCTATATACCCTTTAAGGGATTATGTAGGGTACATCATACCCTCCATCCCCCTATATACCCTTTAAGGGATTGTATAGGGTCCCTCATCCCCTCATTCCCTATACTAACCGACAGTAAGTCTCTGGGCGACCCAGAGAGCACCGCGCTGTCCGGCCCAGGATGTGGAGGCATTGCTGGGCACCCCTCCTGAGCGGTTTAGGGTTTAGGGTTTAGGGTTCAGGGTTTAGGGTTTAGGGTTTAGGGTTTAGGGTTTAGGGTTTAGGGTTGAGCCCAACCCTTCAGCAGAAAAGCGTCAAGAATGTTGATGCCCTGGCGGTTGGGTCCAACACCTTGTGCAAACGTCTTCGACGTAGCTACACCGTGTCCCTGCGAGCCCTGCGATGAAGCCCTGAAGAGAAGCTGCCAAGCCCTAACCCTCAGGCTCAAAATAACCCAAAAACCTTACATAATAAGAAGGCCTTGGGGCCCAACAGCCTTAAAGTTGGAGTCCTGGGAGCCTTAGATTAACATTGCTCAATGCTCATGCCAGGGTCCGCAGATGTGGAAGACCCATGCCTCACCAGTGCGGTCCACGAGCGTGACAGCCTCTTCACTGGGCGGAGTGCATCTGATTGGGCGGTCAACCATGAGTACCCTTGGCCAGAAAAAGTTGACCTTTCAACTATGGTAGGATTGTGTATGCCCCAAAACGTGTGTAAGGTTGCCTACTCAGCGTCTGGAGAACACTTGATCAATCCAGGCCTTGGGATGTAAGCTGCACCCCTCCCCCCAAGTGCTACACACCCTGATCAAAGTAGCACAAGACTGAAGAGGAGAGCTTCCAAATAAAAACTGTCTGTAGAGATATTGCCTCCAGGACATCTACAACCATAGCCCCTCGGCCGCTCAGCCCTTTGCCTCTCGCACCTATCGCCATTCAAGCCGGATGCCACCCGAAACCTCTAAACCCTAAACTGCCCTGCTCTGCCCCTTTCCTGACCTCGCCAGCACCACCGAAGCCCGGATCCTCGCCGTAGAAGCCATACTTTGCGCCCAGATCGCCCATGGTCTGGATCCTTGCAGCTGACCGTACCAGCTTTAAGACCCTAAACCCTAAACCCTAAACCCGAAACCCTAAACCCTAAACCCTAAACCGTCTCGCCGCTGCTTGTTGACATGTTCTGTGGATTCCGGCCGGCGTGACGGATTCACTTGGGCGAATGCTTCGCGTGGAGAGCCATCGACAGCATATCTGATTTACAGACGCAATGTGCTTGCTGCCAAAGCCACATCTTCCATAAAGCAATGAACACTTCCAAGCCCTTTCAGCCCCTTGTTGCATATAGGTCAACTTTCGGGCCAGTCTAGGCTCTCTAGCTCAGCCTCTGCTTCGAAGCTCTAGGCCTCGCTCTAGACTCGATGCTGTGGGTTTACCATAATGGTGACAGAACACGTACATCTGAATAGTACAGCTCTGCATCTGTGCATCTATAGGCAGAATGGATGGCACCCACACGAACACCCGTGGCATCCAAGGCGCGCACACCGAGCAGTTTTACATCGCTCCATGGCCACAGCCATGAGGTTGCCAATGCTGAACAGGGCGTTCCCGCCATCCGACACTCCTCTTCCGGGCATCCGTGTTTAAGGAGCAGGCGCACTTTGCAATAGGAACTTGAAATGGTTTAAGTTGATATGAACTGCTACAAACTGTGTAGTTAGTTATAGAAGTGCTGCCGCCCTAGTCATAGCGCTTAATGGTTCACGGTTCGTAGGGCCTCTCGGACGAGTGGCCGTTACTTCCTGCGAAACCTTCACTTGCCGAGTACCCCGGAAGCTCTCACAACTAACTCGGCTTAGGGTTAAGGGTTAAGGGTTTAGGGTCTAGGGAGTTGAGGGGTATCACACGCCCTGCCTTTGCCCACTAAGTAGGCGGGGCACGTCGACTCACCCATTCCTGTGTTGGAGCTATGAGACTGCTTCTTGTTTGTTTTGGGGAGTGCGTCTTTTCGAGGCCACCGGGAGTGTTCCTTTTTTGCAGCAGGGGAGTGTTTTTTAAATTTTCAACCCTAAACCCAATCAGTGGAGGCATCCAGGCATATGCGGGCCTCCGGGGCCAGGGTTGAGGGCATGGATCTGAGGATGTTGCGCTTGCTCGAAACAGCTGGCGCAACTCGAACCATCCCTTGTTTGACATTCTGCTGCTCTATGGGAAGGCTACTCAAAGTGCAGCGTTTGTCATATGAAAAAGCCCCCAACCGCGAGCTACCAAACCCGGTGACTTCCAACTGGCCCACGAAAAACCCTCAGCCCTAAATCGTGGCAGAGGAACCCAATCCATGCTCATTCATGAGGCCGTAGGAGGCTTCCCACAAGGCGTAGGTATGTCTCACCTGGCAAACCCTAAACCCTAAACCCCAAACCCTTGAAGCGATTCATTTTGGGGGTGCGGGACTGGAGGCTTTGAGGTGTTTGGCGTTTTCGGGCTGGTTTAGGGTGTTGTTTGTTTGGGGCCTGCGGATGTTATATGAGTCAGGATTTAGAGTTTGGTATATGAGTTCGGGGTTTCAGGGTTCGGGCTTCGAGTTCGGGGGGGGGGGGGGGGGGGGGGGGAGTGTTCTTGACGGCATCTGACAACTAATGAATGATACGTAAGCCAAGAAGTCCCATCTAGACACGCGCCAGGAGCCACAGTCATCGAACACATTCCATCTTCTGCACCGTTTGAGAAGCACAGCCATGGTGTAACCTCCTTTCACCAAGTGCGCCACCTGAGGGATTCGGCCCAGCTCCTCCATCAAGGAATGCTTGGCACAGGTGGGTCCAGAGAACCGGTTTGCTCCAGGCACATGGGTACACACTGGTCAAGTCTACGACCCTTAAAGAAGGCAACTGCTTCTGGTTTACGCTGTCCTATATAAATGCCCAACAAGAAACGAATGGACATGGGCCGCACTGAAAGTATACCTGCGCCGAACATGTCATGCACATGGCAATCATTGACCTGCCGAACGGAGATGACTTGCAACTGAGAAACTCAGAACCCCGGTTCCCTACCCCGCTAAAACCCTAAACCAACAGCAACTCTCCCAGCTATTGGGGCCAGGTCCTTGGAGGCGTTGATGCCGGCACCCTGCTGATACTGGGCCGAGCCTGGTCTTCAGCTCAGCTAGCTCGTAGAGGCCAAAATGCACGGGGACGCAAAAGTCATACAGTTATACAGGCACCAGATTGCTTTCCTAGATGGTTTAGCTGTAAACGCGGCACCCGCGAAGCTGCCCCAAGGGAATGGGGGCTCTGCGAAACGAAAAAGGTTGCACGAATCCCTTGCGAAGGTGGGGGGATGTGGGAGGGTTCTACGAGTACAAACCCTCGAGACCTGAAACAGCTGTTCTGGCAAACCCGTGACCCTCTCACGAAGAGCTGTCGAAGACAAGCGGCCTTCCCTTTACACACTTTCTGCATGCCGCCAATTAAGCCCAAGACGGGATGGGTCCACAAGTCTGGGATAACCACTCCAGACCGCATCATAGATGATCCGCTCCTACAGACACGGCAAGTGCATGCACTTCTGCTCAAGCTGTCGCAATGACCTGGTCGTGTTCGGCCAAGAAGCGGATTTTGCCGGATGGTCTTTCGCCTGCACAGACCAGTACGCGCAAACCGACTCTGCGCGACGCGTATACTTCACGGTCACGTGGGTATTTCCAAAATAGGGGTACCCCTGCCCCCTTGATGGGAGCCCCAAAAAGGGTGCCGCTGTTTTTGGAAACCCTCATGTGGTCTCAGGCTTGTTGGTTAACAGGCTGCAAGCTTCTGGGCCCAAATCGGGCCAATCATTTGGGGAGGTTTCAGGGGCAGATTGAACCTGAAGTTGAAGAAACCCCTAAACCCTAAACCCCTTGTTGAAGCATGTAAGTCGGCTTTTCGGGGAGCCATGGGGTGCCAGGAGAGCAGCCGAGCTGCTGGGACATACACCATGCGCCAGTCGCAGTCCTTAGGTCATTTTGGGCGGGGCAAAACCCTGTGGCAACAACCTAGAAGTCCACATGGGGGTTTACGAAACTCGGGGTACCTTATTGGGGTCCTTATTACAAGGGAATCCTACTATCTGGGGGACTATATTAAGGGTCCCTTTTTTCGTAAACCCCCACATGCAGATTCAAGCCTTTCAGGGTCAGACTGCTTGCACGACAGGTGTCTGAACAGTCGTTCGCGTGTGAAGCGATGGCCGAGCCATCGGCCATAGCGTCGGCATTCACAACGATGCCTGTCTAGGGCTCCAGACTTAAGGCTGGGGGGTTTCGGGCTAGGAGAACGACAAGGCGCCAATCTTTGCCAGATCTGCACAGACTTTGCGGGAGCTATGCGAAAGCCACCGGAGACTTATACTTTGTGCCACATCCTTCAAGTGAGTGTGGCCGTTCGGATCAAAACCCCTAGCGTGGATTCGGCCCGCAATTAAGTGTATTGGGGGACCACAACCTATAGCAAATCAACCGTATAGCTGTTGTTCCGTGGCGCTGGTGCAGCCATCGACGTCAAAGCCACCTGCAGTCCACGCTGGGTGTGATCAAACATCTCCGGTTGAATCCAGAAACTGAAGCACCGTACAAGCAGCTGTCCCAGGTGTTCATAACCGTATAACCCCCCCACCCCATCTAGGCCCTGAGCCTCCTTGCAGTGCAAAGTTGAATCCAGCATCAAATGCTGAAAAGAAGTCCCGAATCGCTCCACCCACAAAACTAATTCGACTTATTCCCACTGCAGGGCACCGGCTCCGGCAAACAGCGCGAAGGCCAGCACTGCGCAACACCGAACGTTCAAGTCCTAAGCTCGTTCGTGGGCTCATCGGTCTTCATGGCCTTATCTCCTTTTACGGGTTATTGTAGTTTAGGGTTTATGAGGTTTAGGGTGGAGCCAAGCGTGCCGGGCCTTCTTCTCTGAATGATGTGGCGTGCCAGGAGACAATCCAGAAGAAACCCTATTCATCTGGCGGATGCGCCACCCCGAACCCTAAACCTTAAACCCTAAACCCTAAACCCTGTCACTTCAGTCAAGCTGCCATCGTCCCGGCTTTGTTCTGAAGGTCCTGCCTTGAGCGTCTGAACTTTGCTCGGGGCACCCGTGTCATTACAAACCATCATGGTTTAGGGTTTAGGGTTTAGGGTTTAGGGTTTAGGGTTTAGGGCCAGAATCGATTTGGGAAAGGAGAGCCCGACAGCCTCATGCCTTGGAAAACGACTATTTCGATTCAGGCATTTTGGAAAGGACTAGTTGAGGCACTGGGCTTGCAGTCCGCATGTCGGATGATGCGGGCCTCAAAACTCACCTTTCTGACGCGGAGACGCGCGGTTGTCATTGGAGGGGTGTTCTACTGATGCCCGATACCGGTTGTATATTTCTATCTTTCTTTATTGCTTGGGCTGTTTAATTTATTGTTATGCATTTCTCTAATTTCTTTCTGCATCCATCTAGTTTCTGCATTTCTTGCTTTCTGTATCCATACCGTTCCTTAATATTTTGCCTCTTATACAACATATGCAATATATATATATATATATATGTATAATATATATATATATATATATGCACGTATGCACGGTACACATCCTCGCCTGAGGTGGTATAGGCAAGAGAACCACTTCAAGAATAATTAGGCACTTCGATGTGCTCGCAGGTGTGCAGGCAGCAGCAGTCCTCGATGAGGTGCGGACAGGTACTACGGCTCGTAATGTGACAAGCAACAATACCAGCTTGTGTTGCAAGACTTGTCTGTTAAGAAGGTCGTCTGGAGCAGAAGAGTGAAGCGTACTTAGAATGGATGCTGCCATGTACCAAGGGCCAGAGCTAAGGTAGCTAGGGCAAAAGAGCTGCAGCGGGCATTGAAGGGTCTTGCGCTTCATCTTGCAACCAAACTCTGTATGTTCATCTTGGCTTGCAGGAACCGTTTGGAGAGGGATTGGAGTTCCGGTTGAAGAGCACCGGACATCAGATGTTCACAGACGCCCGCAGCCGGATGATTCGCGCGAGAAGTCTCACAAAGGTTGCGGTTTCCAGCTTACGGCTTGGAGGGCCTACACTTGCGGGTCATCAGAGTCAAGGCAAATGCTGCAAGGACCCAGCCCTTTGCCCGAAACCCCACAAACCTTGGTCGAATGTCTGCCCGAAACAAGCTCAGAAGCTGCAACCCTGTAGCCCCAACCCCAGAACCCCTGAAAACAACAGCTACAGCTCGAGCTGTCTCAATGAAAAGGTTAAGTCCGCCGCGGACTCAAACAGGAAGAAGAAGACCTGAGAGGATGCCTGTGGCCAGGATGGGCTTCGGCATGTCGGTTTTCTGCTTTGGGGTTTACGGGGCCGTTGGGATGTCGGCTTTTGGGATTAGGGTGTACAGGGCATAGACCCAGTCCCGAAAACTCTCCACTTAGTTCTTCCCTTTCTCAACCCCCACCTGGACAACTCTGAGCCCTGTAGTAGAACCCTGTTGCATCGGGCTTCCTTAGTCGCCCGGAAATGCTGACCCTGTACTTGCTGTAACTTTCTTGGTGGTGGGGTGAGGGCTTTAGGGCTTAGAGTTTAGGTTAGGGTTTAGGGCTTCGGGTCTGGGATTGAGGGCTTGGCTCAGGGTGTTCAGAATGTTCAGCTCCAGGTCTGCGTCTTTCTTTGCAAACTCTCTAAGCTACACTAGGCTCCCTTTCGGGAATGGGCGACATGTTGCAGGGCAGCCTCAGAGAATGAATCTCAGCAAGAACAGGAGAGGTTGAGAGCCTCGCCACCCTACAACTGTCAGAGGTGGCAGGGCGTATGGGGGTTCAGGAGTTTGGGGGTTTCGGGGTTTGGGGGTTCAGGGTTTATGGACGACCCCATGAACCCCGCAGCCTAAACTCATGCAACCACGCAGACACTGTATCCCGAACACAAAGACGCAATAAGGCAAGCTCCGAGTCGTTGTCGAACTCCCGGCGGGCGAGGGCAAAAGTTCCATCAACCTGGGATTTGCGCTCGCTGAGCAGTTGTATGATTTGATTTAAGCGGCGGGTTGCGGAATGCTACGGCATCGTACTATCCGAGACCGAATTGGGATGAAAATACTCAGTTTTTTGCAGACGGTGCCAACTACCATATTGAAAGCTGGCTGAGACCCTACCATGGCTCACTGGAAGCCGCTCGCAAACTGCTTGGAACCTTTTTTCCTCGTCGAGGTGTCTGCACCCGAGAATTTTCAGCCCATCGGCCTGGAATGGGGTCTTCACCTCCGTGCCCACCAGTCTGGCCTCATCCACAGTCTCGCCGTAGAGAGCCTCCCCAAAGGAAACGAGACGTCGCGTGCCTAGAGTGCCTAGAGCCTTAGCGCCGACGCTTGCATGGGCAGGAAGGAGATCAGAACCCCCCCCCCCCTCCAAAAAAAAGGGGCACAAATTTAAGGGTTTTGGGTTTAGGGTTTAGGGCCCAATTGGAACAGAACATTTGCCCACCCCGCCGGCCTCTTTCCGGCCTCTAATGCCAACTTCCAACGGAATGGTCCGAACCTGCGCAAGGCATCGCAAGAGCGTCCGAGACCCTTTTTCTTGTGGACTTGTTGAACCCTAACCCGTAGAAAAATAATAACATAATCCAACCATATTATGATAGTACAGTGATATGCGAATACAGCAAAACAATGACATTATAATACCAATTCATGTAAAAATCTAGAAACCTAGAAGAGGAGGCGGAATGGAGGCGCCCAGAAGCTCTGCACTTTGCATCGAGGTATACAGGAGGTATGGTCAAGAAGCCCCGAGCCAGTCACAAAGTGTTCTCAGTCTTAACATCAACTCAGCACTGCCCCAGACGGTTTAGGGTTTAGGGTTTAGCTGAGCCGGCCCAAGGGTCCAGCCAGAATTCGGGCGTTCCCCTGACCGACGAGCAAACCACTTCTGTTGCCCTCCCAAGACTAAAGCGCCGCAACGTGTTCAGACATAGCACCACACAAAACCTTCCAACTAGCCGTTCGTGCCTAGAGGCGCTACGCCCGAAATCCTACAAAGCCCGCACCTCTCCCTTCCAAGCCCCCAGCTGGCTGGCCGGGGCCAGGCGAAAACCCATTTCCCTGATCCGCGCCAGGATCGCCGGTCCTTGCAATCATCCGGTTTTGCTTATGAAATTGAAGCTTCAAAGCTTCAGGATGACACGCGTTCTGAAGAGCTGAAGGTTCGAAGCATCAGGCGCACAGGGGATCTCAAGAGCATGATAAACTCCGATTTGGGCAAGAGGTGGTGCGGCCTTTTCCTGTTGGACTCCGGCAGCTAGCAGGAAGTGACAAAGGGCAGTTTGTGTACCTCTTAGTTCTCTGTCTCCTCTCTCTTTCTCTCCCAACTGCATGGTCTCATAGCAAGACCTGAAACTCGGGTAGCTTGGCCAAGCGATGTGTTCAACACGATCTGTTGAGTCATGGATCGCCCTCTGCTGAAGTACACCTGTTCCTCAAAGCTTGTTTTCGGAAGAAGCCCTCTGGTAGCTGAGAGCACGGCTGAATGATGAAACCATCTGCTCGCGTGATGGTCAGCCTCGCGTCTCCACGAGGGGGGGAATAGGAACAACCGTAGTGTCGTTTTAACATAGTCCTGCAGCTGTTGGGATCTAAACCCTAGAGTTGAGAAACAAAGCGAGGCCTCAGGTTCAAGCAATTGCACGACGAGTCCGGCCAAGCTCCGAATTACAGCAAGCGATTCGTGGGTTGCTTATTAAGCAAGGTCTGCAGGATTTTGGGCGAATGCAACTGTGCAACACGCCTGCGTGCATTGAACTCCGGTTGCCTTGTCTGCCACAAAGCACGCGACTGAAGCATTCTATTGCCTCCCAAACCCCGAAGCCTGCAAAAACCCTAAACCCTAAACCAGACCCTATAAACACCCTAAACCCCAAAATCCCGTCTGGCCCGTTGTAGAACTTGCGCTGCACGAGGTCCAGGAAGTTTCCGGCCTTGTCAGCAACCGCGTGAGGGGATTATGGCCGGTTCTCTACATGATGACCCTAGTTACCCCATGCTGTGTCCCTCCCTTCCATGTGAGGATACTCAGCGGAAGGGAGTACACTTCACCTGCGAACTCACCAGCTAGGCTCCAAAGCTTGAGGGCGGTTTAGGGCTTACGTAGAGTTTAGGGACTTCTTTGCCACCCGACTAGCCGCAGCACAGCGGGGTTCATTGGTCGGACGTGGGAAAACCGAAACATGGACCCCATGGTGGCTCAAGCCTGAATGGGAACATCGCCTGAGGCATTCAGATTAGGACATAGACAGAACCACTCGATGTCAGAAGACCCAAAAGTCGCAACCCTTGCTCATGTCCTGGTGTGGCGCGGGTGCATGTGGGCCCTTTTGTACCGGCATGGCCCTTCTCTGGCAGTCAAGGATCAATACGTACAGACAAAGTATCCGGAAAACAGGATGTCACCTATGCTCAAACATGACTCTCTGTTCAAGATCCTCTTCCAGATCTCGTCATCCCAAGAAACGGGACATACACAATCCCCGACAATTGCTTTGACTGCACATTTGAAGATTCTATATTCATTAACTCCACTCTTCAAAGTCACCTTCACTGCATACTGCAGAGAACGTGTTGCCGAGTTGGACCCCATCCCTCTAATGGTCTCTCTCTCTCTCTCTCTCTCTCTCTCTCTCTCTCTCTCTCTCTCTCTCTCTCTCTCTCTCTCTCTCTCTTTCTCTCTCTCTCTTACCTCTGCTTCCGAGGCCGTCATAAAAACAAACGGGAGGTAAGGACAGATGCATCCAGAGTTGCAAAGAACGATCTCAATCTGGGGCGATCCATGGTGAAGGGACGATGAGTGAGGAAAACCATTTCCGAGGCGCCCTGCCGTCTGCGAACGATCGAACCAACTCGATCGTGCTCATGGGAGTCAGTTTCATCTGTTCCAGTAGCAAACGCCTCGTTTCATCTTTCCGTCCTGAACCACCGCCACAGTCGGACAACGAGCTTGCGTATAGGTCGGGCAGACTAAATTCATCCACTGAGCAGCCTCGGTCCGCTTCGAGATCAGGTGAGTTGATCACAGGATCTGGATCTATACTTAGAAGAAAATCCACGTCTGCAAGCCACTGATTGGGAAACTTCCCGAAATCTTCGGGAAGAGTTGGGGGTTTATTTGACGAGAGAGAACCAAGTGTGGGATTCAGCGTATTGACGCAGCTCGACAGCTCGAGTCTATGTTGGGATTTCCTGGCTGTGTTTCGACTCTCGACTTGATGTACGTTTTTACCAACTCGCCTGCTGTTTCTCTGTTCCCGTGTTCGCTCTGAGTTTCTGCCGCTGGTGCTCGTCTACGAAGACTGTGTGTGCCTATTTTATCTCTGTTCCCGTGTTCGCTCGGCTGAACGTTTGCCTTTTTTGATCTTTTCTGTTTTCCAGCATCCTGGGCTAGCAGCTCCGGCTTGATGAACGATTCGGCGCAACCGCCAGCCGCCACGATCAAGAGGAGGCCTTGCCTTGCGCACCAATCCATCACAGCGCTCCTTCTTGCCGACACTTGTTGCAAGGCACCAAGAAGTTCCCTTACAAGCGCCGGGCTCATGCAGGCGAAGGCCCGCGTCGTGGAGGGCATCCGCCTTGGCTGTTGGCGAGATCTTGTCTTCGGCATTATGATTAAGAGTCGGAATTGCTATCCGACCAAAGCAGGCTTTCGAGTTTGGACAGGAGGTGTCGCAAAGATCCACGTTGGCTGCGGCCAACGCGAGCATGGTGTGGTCCTGGAAGGTGACCTTTGCTACAAGAGCCGTGGCCGTGGCCTGCAGACTCGGAGCGCGCGCACCCTGGCCTCCACGACAGGCGTCCACCGCAGAGCTTCTCGCAGAGCACGGGGACGCAGGATGCGGAAAAGGCTCTTAGGCCTCGAGATCTGCAGATCTGCGGACTTCTTCGCTCCTGAACGACAGGACGTCTTGGCAGCTGGCAGCCTTGAAGCTGAGACGCAGCGCCTGAGGAACTGTAGCTGGACGTCGGCGACGTTCCAGAGGTGTTCGTCCTCTTGCGGGCGCAGCTCCTCCAAAACCTCACTTGAAGCAGGAGAAAGAGAGCTTTCACTTTCTCAACCTTTTGAGCCAGTTCTGATGCGAAGACTACGTCACTCACTACAGACATCAAAATAGAATCCAGGTTGTGTGTGAGCAATTTCGCTCTAACAAAACAGCTCGAGTTGGTTTTTTTGATGCATTGATGCCGATTCAAACACGCGAGCAATGTTTTTTTCTCACCGCAGGCATCTTTCTTTTGATGTGTTCTGGGACAATTGTATTCCTTGATAGTGGTCTCCCAGTCAGATCGTGATGAACCGGTATCTTTGAATGCCCATACAGAGCACTTTTCACTGATCTATCAACACCATAGAAGACTGCAGTCGGGACCTTTCGGCCAATGAACCCCTCATCCCCATCGTCAGACATCTCTAACGAGGGCTTGAGCCAAAATGGGGTTTAGGGTTTAGGGTTTAGGGATTGCTGGGCTGCTCGCCCGGGCTCTGCTCCTCACCAAGCCTGAACCCTTCATCTCCCAGCAGGACTCTTCTTCGACAGACCACAAGTAACCTTAAACTTGGGATGTTAACCCTTCTACTAGCGGCCCTTAATAGAGATTATAGTACCCCCTAGTATAGCCGCTACTGAGGACTGTTTGTATGAGGGGAACATCCCAACCTTAAACCCTGCACCCTGAGCTGGACGATCTCGAGACCCCAAACTTAAAATATCTTACAATCAGAAGCCTCTTCCTTCACCCCCCCCCCCCTTTTTTGGCTTCGGGCGGACAAGGGTGCAGACCAGCCATCGATGATCATGGTGAACTTGGCCTGCCAGCCCCAGACTCTTAGACCTTAAACCCTGAACCTTTGCAAGCTCTCCCCCCCAAAGCCCTAAACCCTTAAGCCTTGAACACTCAAAGGCTTCTTTTCAAGCCTTGGCTGCAGCCGCAAGCCCTGTATGCACTCAAGTCGGATGGCGGACCCAAGTCCCAAGGTTCCGTGCCTTCCCGAGGTCTGCATTATTAGGTGAATATCTTCCTTGCTGTTAGTGCTCTGAAAACAGGGCCCATGACTTCGGTCAGCTGTCAACTTCCCTTACCGTACGCAGGTCAGGTGGGACACACTCGGACAGGGTCGAGGTTTTGGGAATTCTCGCAGCCCTCGTGCGGAAGCTACCCTTTGCGCATCTGGCCTGCAGCGGCTCAAGCAGGACGGACGCAAGAAGCAAAACCGCGAGCAGCACAGCTTCAGGCACCCCCCTTTTTTAACCCACCCCCTGAGCCCTACAACCTCAAGCCAACGTTGAACTGGTCGGCATAGTATCAGCATTGCGTTGGCGAGCTCCCCCGTTCGTTCTAGGATTTCTAGGATTCTAGGTGCCTTCGTATTTTAAGAAATGATAAGAGTAGCATGCATGCCTTGTCTCATGCCACGCCTCGGGGACGAGCTCTTCGTCCATGATATACCTCGCGGACGCAGCGCATGTTCGAACTTGTCCCTTATCCCCTGCTTCAAGGTAGCTCCAGGCTGACCCTCTGTCACCTCTCCTCCCTCTCCCCTCCCTGTGTCCTTTTGTCTCTTTTGTTTTTGCTGTTGCTTTGTTTACTTGTTCTTTTGCTTGTTGTTTTTCTTTGTTTCTCTCTCGCTCTCTCTCTCTCTCTCTCTCTCTCTCTCTGTCTCTGTCCCTCTCTCTTCTGTTGCTCGGGCATGGGATCCACACTTGCGGCCGTTTCGAGTCACAAGTAATGTGTCACATCAGATGCGGGTTTCGCTTGCCCAAGAGTTGGTCATTCGCCGCCGGTGAGTTTTTGCCTCGGGTTGACGAGCCAAGGGGTGTCCCAAGCACTTCCAAAGTCAATTCGGTGTGAGGCTCTGTTGTTTTCCCCCACCACAACCTAGTCACAACATCACCCACAAACAGGGACTACGCTCATGTGTCACCCCTCTCTCGCTCTCTCGCCCCTCTCTGCCTCCGTCACTCTTGCAGACTCAATTCGAAAGAGATTTGCTGATCTCGTGCGCGGCGGCATGATGGCAGCCACAAGAGGGGCCGCAAGGACTTACATTGGCTGCGTTTGTCAGCGCAGCGTATAAGGGTCTCGCAGCCCGACTTAGCCCTATACAAATGCCCGCCCAAGGCCCTCACTTGGTCGCGCCGGACTCCGGGCCGCGGATCAGCGTCCACTCCAGGACAGCTCGGCCTCAGGAGGGTTTCGGGTTTCGGGTGATGGTTCCAGGATTTTCCCCCTTATACTAACAGTCCCTAAAATTAATAGGGATTATAGTACAGTACCCCCTATTATAATCGAAATGTGGGTTGAGGGTTCAAGTTTCAGGTGCTGGGAGTTTGTGCGAGCTTGAGGTCTGCAGTCCCAGCTGCGCAAGCGCGCAGAGAGGCACCGAGGCCATGATTGGCTTATAGGGGTTTAGGGTTTAGGGCTTGCAGGCAGGTCCATTCCAGCTTTCTCCGCTGCACCCAAAGTGTGGTTTTCCAAGCCCTCAGTTGCCTCGCGTACAATTCACACCAGTGCCCTCAACAACCCTGAAACCTTAAGCCATCTGAAACACAAAAACAACCTTCAACCCATTTTCCATCTGGGCTGGGTAAACAACCTTGAACCCGAAACCCTGCAACCCACAAACCGACCTGCTCTGAACAGGATCAAGAAGCCATCAAGCCGCGGAAGATTTGCATACTCTGCTGGCACCTGCGTGAAGTGGGTTCACGGGCTCAGCTCGATGTTTGACTCTGTTTGACCCATCTGCCTAGCTTGTATGTAGACTGCTTCAAGGAACTTCATGGCATGCTGTGGCTGAGACACACTTTTGCCGCGAAAGTATCTCAGTTTCAAGCTGCACCCCCTGGTCCGAAACAGTACGTGCAACATGCATTCAACACCTCGTGGTCAAACCCCGCAGACGACAGCACATGAGCAGCCAACCTTCTTAGATTTTCTTATCAGTCCACACGTCGTCTGGTAAAATCTAAAGCAGTCGCGTTTGCATTTCAACGTTACCCTGTGTGAACTCTGAACTATGCATGTGTTGAAGCGCCTCTTATATATGATGGTACACCTCTGCAAGCATGCTACACCTCCTTGCCAGCCATGGGGTGTAAGAGCAAAGAGCTAGAAGCATGAAGTACCCCTACGTATCTTGCAACAAATAGCCCTTGAGCTGCAGCCCTTAAACCAAAATGGCATCTTACCCTAAGCCTTAAAACCCTGAACCCCGAATCCCCCACAACTTGTCGATTGTTTCACCGAAGCCTGCATTTGATACATGAGAAATGTTCTCCCCTTATCATAATTGCAGCCCCCCTTATCATATTTGCAGCTCCCCTCCCTCCCCCCCCGCTGCGCAACCAGACGATGGAGGGTCTCAAAGGTCCAATAAAAGAGGGAGAAAGAGGGCCTATTGAATTTCAACGGGAATTTGTGGGGCGTATGAGAATATGTAGGGGCTACCATGTCCACTTTACAGGATAATATTGACTGAACTGACGTCCACATGTGCGGGAAATTACTGTCAGCCTCCGTTGATAGGTATTTGGGCTCTCCTATGTCACAAAGCCAGACTGCAAGGGACTTCTGAGTTTCTGGATACAAAGTGAATCGTGCAGCCCAAGGCCTGACAGAGGGTTTAGGGTGAAGTGTTCCCCCAGGCTCGGCAAAGCTTCGGTCATGCTGGCATGCTGACGATCCTGATGGGTCATGCAGTCGAACGGGTCACAATGAGGTGGTGTTTGGTCTATACTGCCACTTCCCACTGCTCCGGGCAACTAGCAAAACACCCTGCCAACCACAACTTCGTTGATGGCTGCATGGGGGAATTAAACCTGCTCTCCTGATGGCAAGCATCGGCTGTAGGCCACATTTGCCAACCGAGAACACAGACGATCTATATGCCTGCACAAATGGTTACGCCTGTTTCGGTATTACACGCTTGCACAGCACAGATTAAGCCTACAAACACTGTCGCGAGGAAGTCTCATCCTTTTCAGCTCCCATTGCTTTCTCCGTGTCCTCACCTTCTGCATCCTCAATATTTGCCAACTGGTCCACGTCTGAGTCTGGCATCTTCTTGGGTGGCTCGCCTTCCTGCATGCAAAAAACATTGGGGGGGAGAGTTGGGCTGGAAGCGACCTATCACGTGACCGGCTCTTTTACCCTAAACCTCTCTACCCTTGTGGTCTTATCGCAAACAAGCAGTTTGCTTGGGATGTTCTTCCGTATACTAACAGTCCTTAATAAGCCTTAATAGGGCTGGTCGTATAAGCGGAACCATCCCAGCAGTTAGGAAAGAGGCTCCTCCGCGAGCAGGGCATCGATGTCCTCGTTCGAGAAGATCAAGGGGAGGACTTTGAAGCGGATCGGAATGAGACTCGCAACCTGTTCGGACTTCTTTACAGAAATGAGCCATGAACACTCATCATCGGTACCACATGCAGAGGTGGGCTACTTTCAACGGTCGGCAGCTGAATCGAATCCAAGGCTGAGGCACAAAGACCGGAAACCCAAGGCCGATATAGATGTTGCAGAGCCAGCAACCAACCACCATGAGAATCTGAAGCAAAGTAAAGCCATGGACGGTCTTGAGGGGCAAGTGGCTGTAGCCTGGGTAGTTTGAGAAAGTTTGAGAGTACCCCTACTCAAAGAACCACCCCCCCCCCCTCCCCGGTGATGTCTCTTCAAACCAAGCAGCCTTTGCCCAAGCGTGGCTTGTATGGGTCAGTGAATAACAGTAAGAAGCGCTCCCATAGTTGTGTACCCAAAGCAGCCTTCAAGCCCACATATATGAGGGCACCGCTCACGGCCGTCTCTGGCAGTTTGTTCAACAGGTCCGGCAGAAACAGAGCTACGCCCATCAGAAGGTAGCCGATGAACGGGGCCACACGGTTCTCCACCACGCCGGTAGGCCTGTAATCTTCGTCGGTCTCCGTCATGGCGCCCACAAACTGAGGAGAATGAGGTAGGGAGCCTGTGACGAAGGGCAAACCCCAAATAGGTCCCAGCAAGTTGAACAAGGCCATGCACGCAAAGGAGGAGTGGAAGTAGGCTCCCTTTCCGAGCATTTGCTCGGGTTTCTGGCACATGAGGCTGGAGATATTCTGGTCCTTGGTAGCCCAGTAACCATATTATAACCACGGTACCCATTTTGGGGCTGGTTCCTTTGTAAACGGAACCCAGAACCAAAGAAAGGGTAAAGGGTACCACTGGGCTAGCAAGGGTCCAGGTAAAAGAACATCACGATCGGGATGGCTGCGACAGCCGCCGCAAGGATGCCGGTCCCAGTGATGCTCCCCATGTCCGTCATCCACTGACGTCCATCGGTCGTGGTCAGGCCTGAATCGAGAGTCCGAGAGGCACCCCCTTTAGGGTTCTCAAGCGTGGTTTTGAGAGCTTCTTATGGTGAAGATAGTGTTGTGATTTGGGGTGTTCCTCCCTTATACTAACAGTCCTTAATGGGGATTAACATGGATTAACCTGCCCCCTGTTATAATCCCGATTAAAAGGACTGTTAGGATGAGGGGGGGCATCCCAAGCTGTTATAGACTTTCAAAGCTGAGGACGTCTGCAAACCTTGCGTGCCGCTCTGGCCTGTGCTGCTGGTGTCAATGAATTCCACGGGGAAGAAGTGCGCATCTAGGACTGCACCCACGATCGCCAGCACGAACACTGAAATTGTGAGAGCCTTGACAGGCTGTACTGGAGCACGGGCACCGGAGAACTGGCTTAAGGCCAACACAGCTCAGAACGGAGACTGTAGATCCAGCCACCGAAAAATGCCCAAAAGTCGAGAAGAAGAAGAAATCCCCAACAACTCCTGAGGATGGGGCATAGTCTGACAGTAGCTTTCGGATGGTATAGGTACCCCAAGCCTTGGTGCTGCAGACATCGTCGCGATGACAACTCTTTGGGGTTTAGGGTTTAGGGTTTAGACATCCAAGAAGCCGTGCTCGGGATCTTGCTGAGGTAGTAGGCCAGAGCTGTGCAGCCCAGGGTCATGTTGAAAACAAGCAGCTTTCGAGCTGCAACATCCGCGGTGCCACTGTTCCACACGCGGATCATGCCCTGAATTCCGTCATTGATGTAGACCTGACTACAAGCAGCTTGACAAGGTCTGCTCGTTTCGCTGTCCCCGTGCTTACGGTGGTGGGCGAAGCCGCTTGAGAGCCTGGCCGTTCCGATAAACGTTGCGAAGATGTTCTCCTGAGGTTGCACACAAATTGTTGAAAAGCGATGCAATGTGTTGTGGCTTGAGCTCAGCCCCAAAAGAGGTAAACAAAAATGATCATGCATGTGCCAGTGCCAATTGCAGAATCCAGTATCCGTGAATGGCGTCACGTACTTGATGAATCGGCTGAGCTCCGTGGCTGCGATGAGAAACATATACAGACCTGGAAGCGCAGGAACTTGTGATCGGCAGCATCAGTGTCAGGTTGTTGTGGGCCCGATGCCCCGTGACAGCTTACTCAAGTTGCGTGTGAATGGTGTAGAGGGGAGCGAATTAGCGGGTTCTGTTTCCCAGTACTCGCTGGGGACTGGCTGAGCTCTGGACCCACAAAAATCCCAGTCCAGGCAAACAAAGGCCAGAAGGGTAGCACGAGCCACTCACTGACTTCATGGAGCTTCTCAATGAGCAACGTGATTGGTCCAGTGGGCCGAAGAACCAGCAAGGGCTGGCAACCAAGAACAGAATGCAGCATCCCTGAGATACTGTTCATAATCAGGTACTCGTTGATGCCGATGACCTGAGCGAAGCCATCATGCAGGCGCTGAGAGAATCGAGGGGGCAGTTGGGGGCGGCGCAGAGGCCACTGGATCCCTGCAGCCATATTCTTGTCCATCCTACACCCCAAGACCCCAGCCTAAGGCCTGCCCACATGTGCAAGCGTCTATTCGGACATGATGCAAGCAAGATGTGATCGGTCTCTGTCTGTGTCTCTCCCCTCTTCTCTCTCTCTTTTTCTGCACGCATGGACACCCCCCCCCCCCCCCCCCCGAAGGGGAGCCACCCTGGTGGCAAGCCAGCCGGTTCTGCTCCTTCCTTCCTTCCTTCCTTCCGTGCCGGTTCTCTCGGTCTCTTCCTCTTCTTCCTCTTCCTCTTCTTCTTCTTGTTCTTCTTCTTCTTCTTCTGCAGGGCATGCAGGCGCGCCTGAGAGATCCTCCCTTCTTCTTCTTCTTCTGCTGGGCTTAGGGGTGCCCCCCCGCGCTCGAAGCGCGCCCGAGGGTGAGTCAGGTCCAGTGAGACCACAGCGACCGGCGCACTTCTGTCAGGTCGGCGTGACACTGAATGAAAACAGAAACCGCTGGATTGTAACAGCCAAAGGAAATCTCCCCCCCCCCGTAAAGGACAAGTGCTGCGGTTTCCCCAGGTGCAACCGAGGAAAAACATGCATTGCTGTCTCATGTGGGTTCGTATGACCCCGCCCTTGAATTATGCCTCGGGTTGCCCCAGTACTACAAGGTTCCCCTGCCAGAGATTGCTGGCTGGGGTCTCACGGCGTTACTCTGAATGGAACTAGAAAGCAAGGAGTGATGCTTGTCTTTCCCCCCACCCCCCCTACTTGCCTCGCTCCAACACTCCGCGTCAAAGCATCACTCCGATTTTTGCACGGTACATGGATTTGTCTACTTGTCCTGTGTTTACCTGAACGATCACCCCTGGTTAAACAACGCCCACAAAAAGCCTTTGCTTACCAAACGAAAGCCTCCACACAATCTTCCTTCGAGACCCGAATCATCCCTGAATCCCTCCTCCTATTCCTCCGAAAACCTCCCCCCCCCCCCCTTATCTCTTGGCTCTCATTCATCTCATTTCATCTTCGGCACGTGCGTTCCCCCCTCTACTTGTTGTCATTCTGGAAGTGCTGCCATTGTTGCAAGACAGTGTCCCTGGAGTTTGCTCCGGGCGGTCTGCATCAGCTGGCGCCTGGTACTCCACGGCGCGCTTCATCTCTTTGGTGTCTGTTGCGGCTGCTTTCCAGGTGCTCCTTTGTCTCATGCTTCGGCGTTGCTCCGTCTGGCTCTCTTGGTTGTCTCGCGATCCTTCTCGATGGCCACCTCCCCCTGCTGCGGGCCCACCTGCTCCGCTCCCCCGTGGATCTTCTTCAGACTCAGGCGGCGCATGATGACGACGTAGTCCTGCTACCTCCTCCTCTTCATATCCCTCCGTCGTGGTCGCCGCTAGTTGCCCCCAGCTGAGATTGTCGTCTTCTCCTCCTCTTTCCCTCCTCCTTAGCAGCGGCTGTCTATCACAGGCATCGCTGCCGCTATCCATGGCTTTGGCTTCGGCGGGCCCTGCTTATCCCCGAAATAACGTTACTCGACAAGTGACGTCCTGGCAACCCTGCAGAAGCTCGCAAAGGCATGCGCCCCCTACCGTGCAAGATAGCTCTACGGCATGGTGCAAGTGATGAGCAAAGACGGTTACTCCCAACAAACTGTCCACACACTGCCTACACTGGTCCTGTAGCTGCAATCTCAGGCCACCGTAGTAGGGATCACCCCGGCCCCCCCCCCCCGTCCTGTCAAGTTGAAGCAGCTGTCACCCCGAACGCGAACCCAAAGGGAACTTAGGGTGTAAGGAGGTGGCACCTGAGTTGGAGCTTGTTGGATCGGCGCGGCGGGCTCAAGCCACCCGGCGGAGGGCGGGTTTCCCCCAGGCGACTTGAGCCAAAATGGCTACTCCTCCCTCTCTCTCTCTCTTTCTGTCTGTCTCTCTGTCTGCACTGCTTACGCAGCACAGCGGTCCTAACCATCGCCGACAAACCAACACAAACGAACACTTTCAAAGTTAACAAAGCCCTTGGCCCTATTCCCTTGTTCCCGGATGCCCAAAAGAGCTCTAAGGCTGACACTCCATGGGTAACCTGGCTTAGGGTTTATAGGGTTTATAGGGTTCATAGGGTTCATAGGGTTCATAGGGTTTACAGGGTTTATTGGGTTTATAGGGTTTTAGGTTTAGGGTGGCATGTTTCCACTGTTTCCACTCCGTGAGGCTCACGGAGTTTTAGAGGCACGGCGATACAAAGGAGGGGAGTTCAACGGAGTTCAATGTTGGGCTTGGGAGTTCAAGAGTTAAGGGTTTAGTGTTCCTACTGTTGGAGGGATGTGGTGGTTTAAAGAATTTAGGACACTGGCCCTCTCTAGATATGAAGTGAACCGTTGACGACGTCACAAAAAATCAAGCCCCAAATGCCCCTCCAAACCCTTTTGCGGGTTTCGGGTTAGGGTTAATCAAACCCTTATAAACCTTTGCGGGTAGCATCATTGATGTGCTTGCCCAAGGCCAAGGTGGAGGTAAAGGTGGCGAAGAACAGGAACAAAGCACCTGGAAGGGCTTGGTTTATGTATGAGTGTACTGCATACATACATGCGAAAAGAAAGATTTCGGGATCTGCACCTGAGACCGTCTTCCCCTTCAGCACATCCGTCAGCCAGTCTGACCGGCAGTACGCGCAGCGCCGACGGTAGTCGTTCCTAGGGCGGGGGCTTTGAGAGCAGCATCGTGAGACCATCCAGATGCATGGAGAATAGGAAACAGGGACTACAATAATCGATGCCGCAACATGGTTCATACACCTGCTTGCGGGAAAGAAAAGATTTCGTGAAGAAAGGAACTGAGTCATCATTTGGTACTCGCGTCGTTCCTTGCCTCGACTGCTGCACCTGATGATGACAACTTTACCTGTTATCGTGTCGTGGCTAGAGACTGACCTGTAAAATCTGGACTTGACACGACCGGCCGACCCGCAGCCCTAAACCCTAAACCCTAAACCCAGCATCCTCCCAGCTGCGGGCAAGGAGCATAAGGCCCCCACAGAAGCCGCCAATGTAATCCAAGCCAGGCGGCGTTTCCACATGGGAAACTAACAGCTTGTGCAACATTGTGGGAGCAAGTGCCTCCTACAGGCCGCCGGCGTCCTGTGCCCTTATACTGGCTTGAGAAACAGACGCATGGCAGGCAAGCAATCAACCCTCTTAATCTCATGGTGGTCTTCAGCCAGATAAGGAAAATCCTGCACTGACCGTGGTGGCCCCTCTGCAGCGGTTAATGCAACAATGCTGGAACCGGAGATGGTCGAACATTACGCCTCACATCTCAGACCAAGTCCAGGCCACTAATTTCTCGTTTGCGCAAGCCAAGCAACGACTCGGTCCGAAGGTCCGTCCTTTAGAGGTTTAGGTTTCGGGTTTACAGGGATTCGTTTGCATCCAGGCCTGATCCACTAGGTTTACAGGGTTTAAAACCCTAAACCTGGCTCCAACCTTGGCCGCGTAGTCTGCGGGCAAGATCAGCTCCTTCCGAAGGCAGGTCGGCCCCCCCTTTGTGCTGGCATTGATTGGAGGTTCATGTAGTTTAAGTAGGGCTATAAGTATGATAGTTATATACTCATTATAACCCCATTTAGGGTCACTTGTAACCCCTACTTCTAACTACCCATGAACCTCCAAGTGGACAGGTGTAGAAGGTGTTGAAAGGTTGGGGGTTGGGGGTTTAGGGACGGGCTCATGGTGTTTTCGCATCACGGACTTGAGCTCTTGATGATTTCCGACCTTCCATGCCGCTCAAACATAGGGCTGGTGGATCAGAAATGCTCAAATCCGAGCTCTCCTGAATGAAGGCCTCTCACAGTGTGTATGTTATAGATATATATATATAGTTAGAACAAGGCCCTCTTCCCTCCCAGCTTCACCATTCGTAAAGATGTCTCTGTATGGGCAAAGTGCCAAGCACAATCATTATCACAAAGCTAGGGACAGAGAGAAACGACGGGGAGACAGAGAGAAAAGGAGAGAGAGAAAGAGAGAGAGAGAGAGAGTGACAGAGAGAGAGAGAGAGAGAGAGATTTAAAGACCTGCTCACCAGGGTTGAACCTTATCCGATTCCCTTGAGGGAGGCCTGCAATAAAACAAGCACCCTGAAAAATGAAGTCAAGCTTCCGGAGACAGGGTCTAGCAAGCCTTCCTGTCTGAGAGCTGGTGATTCAGGGAAGAAGGTTTCCGGGTGTCTCACCTGTGTTGACCCGGTGTAGATTCCCTAAACCCTAAACCCTAAACCCCAAACCCTGTTCAGGAACTTCGCCTGTGCTTCTTAAGGCTTTCCGCCAGCCTCGATCTTGCCCACGAGCTCCTGCGCCTTGTCCGAGCCTGGGTAAGCACACCGTATCCCTACATACACAGACCACAGGGCCTGACTCAAAGCCCTAAACCCTAAACCCTAAACCCCCAACCCCCCCCCCCGAACCCTGACCACTTACTTAGACAGAGCTGTAAGAAGAAAATTCAAAATGCCCCCAAGCTCAAAGTCGAAGCACAAAATGCTACAAGAAAGCCCATCTAAGGGTTGGGGCAGTGGGGCTTGGGGATGTTCGAGGCATCGCTGAGTTGACGCCCGATGCTCATAAGATCGTGGCTCTTGCCTGCCTTTTCCACCATGTCTGCCTGAAACGTGTGCTGAGAAATGATGTGAGGATTTCCCAAAACAGGGGTACCCTTTGTCGTGTCGTGGCATAAGGGTTCTTTTGCCTTTAACCGCAGCTTTCCAACAACTGGGAGGAGACTAGTCACTCATACTAGCTGAGATGTCTTAGCGCATTAGCGCGGGGATGGGGAGACGCCACCGGCTGAGCAAGGGGATTCAAGCCACAGACCCTGCAAAGTGGACTTTCGGTCAGAGGCGGGAGGCAAAAAGAAGCCTGAAGACTCGAACTTTCCAGCCCATCCGCAGATCAGTGCTGTAGGCTGTTGTCCTACATGCTGGGCTGAAACTACAGCTGCCTACTTGGAGTTTATGGTGCTTTAGGGGCCCTTTATGACGTCTCGCCTGGTAAGGCGTGGCCGTTCCGCCATATTCGGCGCCATCGATCTCCTGAGTGACAGGGCTTAAGGCCTGTGATACAAGTTCCGCACCTTGTACCTGCAGCCTAGTATAGGGGGGGGTTATTATCGCATATCTTATAAAGGGACCAGAAGGGAATACGATTAGAAATTCTTCCGACCCCTTTATTACACCTTGGGCCTTATCCAGGAGCTACATACCGGCTGGTCCTGTTCATAAAAAAAGTGCAGTGAAGTCATTTAGATTGCCTGTCAGTGCTTTTATCGTACGTTAAAAAAGGGGCCTGAAGGGAACATTCTTAGCAATTATTCTTCCGACCCCTGTAGTAAGGGGGGGCAGCTTCGAGTATGTGACGATCTTTTTGGAATAACAGCGGTCAGTGAGCCTTTGAGATTGCACGCAAGTCCTTCAGAATCTCGTCGCAGGCCGAACCAAGATCGCTCAGCAAAGCCTGCGGCACAAGCCACAAACATGTAGGCAGGGTTCAAGGGCTTAACCAGAACGCTCTCACTGTGGCCAAACAGAGCCTCTGAGCCAGAACCCAGAGGGGGGGGGGGGGGGGGGGGGGGGGGGGGGGGGGGGGGGGGGGGGGGGGGGCAGAGAGGTTCCTAGATGAAACATCGAATGGATTAGTGTGGTCCAGTTGCTGAACTGCGGTCCCAGTCAGAACCATTCTTCACCTAGAGACACCTAGGGTAGCCAAAGAAGGGGCAGCGTTTAGGAAACTAAGCAGTGAGGGACTAGACTCCTGCAACACCTTGCGCTGTGGAGTGTCGAACCTCAAGTCCCAGATCTCGCAGATGCATGTCAGAACCAGTAAGCTTGCAAAGACAAGGCCCACATCTGTAGGGTTTGCTGCGTTTGGGATTTTGAGCTTGCAATTGGGGCTACCAGGTTGGGCCATTAGTAAACCCTTTGAACCATGTGAACCGCTTCATGCCCCAGTCTAAGCCCTAAACGCGAAACACTAAACACGAAACCCTAAACCCTACTCTCTCACAGGCCTCTGCCGCGGGCTTCTGTGCATCTGGGACAGGCTTCAGGATGTCCTCTCGCTTGGGGCTGCCTTCGCAGCGTTCGACATAAAAGGTTTCAGTAACCGAATGTGTACATACACATATATGCGTATTATATATATATACATAATATACATACATATGTATATATATATATATGTATGTATATCGGCAGCAGGTTGAGTGTTGGGTTAAGGTTAGGGGTCTAGGGCTCGGGGTCTGCTAGTAAGAGCCTGGCGACAAGCCAGACACTAACTCGTCATCTGTCTTCTAGCCCAAAGCCCTCCCTATCGACTCCTTGTCTTCAGACTAAAGCAACGTTGCACTGAAAGATCGTGCAGGGTTGGGGTCCTTTGGCTTTTCGGCAATCATCTTCAAGACGGACGTGACGCCTCCTAAGCGACTGGCTTGCCACTCCACGCAAGGCTACTTAGGCAAGCGACCCTTGGTACCAATTTGGGTTTAGGGTTTAGGGTTTAGGGTTTAGGGTTAGGGTTTAGGGTAAGCAAAGGGTCTCCGGGACATGATGCACTGTCATGTAGTCTCACGTCCAAGGCTCTTCATGAGTCACTATGAGGCTCTGGCTAGGCTGAGACATACTCCCCGAATCCCTAAGCCTCCTGAAGAGACCGAGCTCTACAGCAAACCCTGTAGGTGGCCCACCCCTGGCTTTGTCGAAGATGCGCTGCGTAACGTACAGACGGGACCTGGGAAGATCTTGGCTTTTGGGGTTTTTTTTGGGGCTTAGGGCCTGGCGTTGACAGAGCCTTGGGCTCCCAGGCTCCTGGCACCCAGGCTAACCTGCGACCCAAAGCAACAGCCGCCTGACCCTGGCTGAGCTCCCGAATCCGACCTCCCCAAGCCGCATTTTGCTGCCTAGCAGTCCAGCCGCCACTGCACGGTGACAGGTCGGGACTAGGATGGCTCTTCAACCCAAATACTCCTGAATATGATCCTCTTAAATTAAACCCAAAAAGGGAAAATATATCAAACGTCGCAAGGGTCTGTCTCGGGGAAAGGTGCCTCTCTAGAAGGGAGATCCGTCTTCGGCCCCTCATCTGGGTGCAGAGCTCCTCAAGGCTTGCTTGCACTTGGCGGATGGGTTTGACCTGGCATTGGGACGTCCGGTGGAGTTTAGGGTTTAGGGTTCACGGTTTAGGGTGGTGTGTGGAGCTTAGCAGTTTGTCTCGGTGTGATGGTTCATTGTTCTGAGCATTGGACCTTTAAGAACGTAAGGGGCCAAGCTGAATAGACTGGTCAGAGAAGCATGTTCCCTCAAGACGGAGCACTCGATGGTCCCAGAGTTGCACTTCGTAGGACTTTACATAATCCGGCAATCTTCTATGTGGCCAAGTTGGGCCAAATCACATGCCTGTTAGCACTTTCTAGCTACAATAGCGACCCACGAAGGGGGGCATAACATGGCATCACCCAACCTCAATTTTGGCGATCCAGGTCGGGTCCTGCCTTTGCTACTTGAGACTTTTGTGCCCTCTACGGATTGAAGACCCCAGTGGCAGGCAACCCTATCTTGCCCTATATGACATACCTTAGGCGAGCCTGAAGGCCCCTCATTCGCATCGCAGCCAAAAAGCCGCAAAGCCAGAAAAATCTTAGAAGGTTGCGGGCTTTGGTTTGGGGCAACTGCTGGCGCCTTATCCTCGCCTGCTGTCTCCTCAAGTGGAAGCGCATACTGCAGCAACCTGAGAGGAAGCAGAAACACACCAAGCCTCGGAAAACCCCGGTTCTCAAAGCGCGGGCAAGGCCGGGAGGGGGGAATAGCGGGTGCTCAAAGCCGTCAATAACCCTTGAACTTGAGTCTTTGCCTAGGTAGCGCAAGAACATAACCAAACCACTCTGCATGAACAGGGCAGCAAAGTAGACGACACGAAGCCTAACTCCACAAAACCCAAAACCCCTCTGACTGTGCCGTTCCAACCTTGGTCTTGACAGTTGCCCAACAAGATGAGATTTTGCAACTGCAAAAAACCGGGCCCCTGGCGAGATAGGGTCCTTGTTGACGCGCGTACCATATGCTGTGGTACCAGTGCGGGCCACAGCCTTGCACAGAACTGAAGTGCCCAGGCTGAAAACGAGAACCAGCAGTTCCTGATATTTCTGAATATTTCCTGTTTCCGAATATCTCCTCATGCTTCCCAACACTTTTCAGCATTTCCTCGTATTTCCGAATACTTCCTAATAGACACAAGAACATTCAGTTCCGGGTGTCATGCTCAGAAGGCAGGCGCAATGCAACACAACAGCAACAATAGAATGGTAGGCACGGGCGCGGGCGGACATACACACATATACACATACGCATGCGCAAAGTAATGTCTTTAGCTTGCTTATGAACACTCAGCATTCTCAACATATTGGCCCCAGAATTGTCAACCTTGGCAAGGGGGAGGGAGGGGGGGGCGAGGGGCTGAGTTGGGGGCGGCCCTTTGTTGAACCCAGGCTGGACTGTGACTTGCTGGGAAGTGGGAAGGGGCGGCCCTAAACCCTAAACCCTGGCCCCTACTCCCAAAAGACTAAATGCTCATAAACACGACCCAAAAATGGGCAGGGTTCTCTGGCTTGTTCACAAAAACGCCCCAACTTAGCAACATCTTGGCCCAGGAACTGTGAGGGGGGTTCGGAGACCGAATAAAGCCCTCTAGATTTTGGACCACACGCATGCTACAAGTATGGCAGGCCCTCCTTTGAAGCTAAGGCTTGAAACAACAAATCAAGGAAGGGATTTAGGGCCCAAGGGGCCCAACTCGGAAATAAACAGCGGCAGTTCTGGGCCTGCGGCCTAAAACAGAGCTTACAGGGGGCCACTCTTGGGGAACCCTAAACCCTAAACGCTAAACCCTTTTTGAACCCAGACTCTGCACGTCAGCTGGCACGATGACAACTGCATCGACTTGCATCCAGGAAAACCAAGCTGGGGCCTCATACAAGAACCTTAAACCCTAAACTCTAAACCCTAAACCCTAAACCCTAAACCGGCCAAACAGCGAAGGTAGGGACACCCAACAGCACTCCGGGGCCCCCAGGCCGGCGCAGGTCCGAGTTGAAACTGCCCAAACCTTCTCAGGGAGGCTAACAAGTTATCTAGATTGTTGAGAATATTTAGGAAACTTTAGGAATGTAGGATATCTAATACCTAGATTATTTCGAGGGTTTTTTTGATACTTAGGCTTTAGGGCTTCGGCATGCTTTTTTGTCACCTGCCTAGCTGCTTGGGTCGCATCATGCACGAGTGCCTTGCGTAGACTTCAGGTACTCTGCATTATGAATTTAGGGTTTAAGGTTTAGGGTCTTAGGTTTCTTTCAACACTTGCTGGGTGGGTTTGGGAAGTCTTAAAGCTGTGTATTGACGACCGGGGACAAGACAACTTTCGGCGCGTGCCGATGCATTCCTAGGAAGGGTGTGTTCTCACCTTCCGAAAATACGAAAATGCAAGACAGACCCTGAACATGCACCGTATCATATGTGTGAAGGCACGTGGGTATGTTTGTCAATTCCTGAGGACGGCGGCTCTATCCGTGGTGCCACCGTTGCCACCTGAACAAGTGAGGATTTCATGCGAAGGGCTCAAGGTCCAAAGGGACGCGGGTGCAATGCAGTGCCATTAATCAGATGTGTAGTTGATACGTCCTCTAACCACATGTATGTACAGACATGTGTTCACATTGCAGCTGCACACTTGTTTGACAGTTCACGGTTACACACATACATGCCTGCTTTGGTTTCTTTTGAAAGGCTGATCTGAGGATCTTCCGCGACGGATGCCGCAAATGCATGTCTCTACTCAAATCAAGAGCTGTTCCTGGTTAGCAACCTAACATGCCAAACAGGCAACATGTTGACATGTCACATGTCATATGATGAATATCTTTGAAGTTTGTGTGTCAAGCATATATTCCGTACCAAATTTGCCAAAGAATACCCACGCATCTTCTGCATTCCTACATGTCAGAAACATATGTCTACACGCAGGACCCGACAGGTTGCGCGAAGGGGCGTTCAATCCATCCAAGTTTTGAGTCGAGAACCCCGACCGCGGACACTGGCTTCTCAGTTTCGGGCACACACGGCCGCCATCAGCGATAATGCCCACGCCTGCAAATTTGGGGCCAAGGCTCTTGCCACACGCTTCTCCGACACAATCCCTAGGAAGCGGGAACGGCAGGTGCCTCGAGTGATGGCACAAGTGTGATGCCTTCTGTGAGTCAACAATCATCACCACTAGCATTGCCAGCCTGACCTCCGCATTGTCCGCTTTGACTTCAGGTGCTAACCCGAAAAGAAATTCCAACGACAACCGGCACCTTCTGCAAGAAGGGGGCCTGACGCCCGGCGCCATCCTGATATCACACAAGTAGAAGTGTCTGGTTACAGTTTACGGTGCCCGAAAGGATGTACCCTAAACCCTGGCGCAGTACTCCTTGCTTTTGGGCTCTAAGCTCTACATCGCATGGGCCTCAACTCCAGAGCTGCTATATTGCATTCTACGAGAGTCCCAAGTGCCACAGACTCCCAAAATCCCAAATCTCGCCACCCCCCCCCCCCCCCACAACAGGCCCCTCCCTGCAACCCTGGGAATCCGGGCCCTCATAACCACTGCAGCTCGCAGTGGTCTCGCCGCCCGCCTCGCAAGACCGGGGGCCGTCGAGGCTGACCAGACTTCGGGTGTATTCAGCCCCATCCGAAAGGCTGTGCAGGTAGGCCGCCTTAGCCCCTACGAGGAGGGGCCCCCCAAGTTATAAGTAGACGCCCTAAATTGGGTTATAAATCCTTTAACTATAGTGAGTATAGTAAGGGGGCCCTTGTAGCCCCACAAACCCAAAGCAGTCAGCTTGAAGTCAGCACTTCAGATCGTAAACCTGCATCGGTTGGTCCCAAGTCGCCTCTTGGCTGCGACGCCCGCTGCCAGCACCGTGGCTGCGACAGCTGCGGAGGATACGCCTCAGAGAGTCGCAAGAAGAGCTGACGAAGGGTCTGCTGCAGCAGCTCAAAGAACACAGAACTGCCGACTTGAGCATCCACCTGGAGAACCAGCTGCGACAGAAGGCCAAAGCAATCACGGCACGAACAAAAGTTAAAAGAAGAGGGTTCTGTGTTGCTCCCAAACAGATATGAAATTGCCCAGCAGTTGCATGTGTTCATTCCAAAGTTGCAGGAAAGGAAACCAGCTCAGATGTTGAATGCCCTCCCGCCATCCCTGAAAAAAACTCAACCCGAAGCCTAACCACGAACTCTCCAGAGCACCAAAAACCTAAATCCTGAAGAATGCAGCCTCAAAATCCCTCAGACCTGCTCCATGCCAACCCGAATTCCTAAACCCTAAACCCTAACCCTTAACCCCTAACCCCTAATCCCTAACCCCTAAACTAAACCCTAAACCCTAAATCCCTAAACCCGTCTCCTCCAAGCTCCAAGCCCAGGCCTCGCTCCGGCACTTCCTGTGCTGGTCGAGGTGCTGCTCCGAATCTGGTGGGCCGAAGGTCTCTGGGCTTTGGGTTAATAGGGTTTCATAGGGTTTGATAGAGTTTTTATAGGGCTTAATAGGGTTTAATAGGGGAAAGCTAGGCTTGGGGGTTAATAGGGTTCAGTAGGGTTCAGTAGGGTTTGATAGGGGTTAATAGGGTTTAGTAGGGTTTAATAGGGTTGAGTAGGGTTTAATAGGGTTTAAAAGGGTTTAACAGGGCTTAATAGGGTTTAATATGGTTTAGGGTGTGGGCTTTGGGTTTTCAACGGAAGTTTTCAGGTACCTTCGATATTGGGGTTTAGGATTTAGGGTATAGGGCTCAGGCTCCTAGAAGGGGCTTGAAAAATATGAGGGGTTGTAGGTGGGAATGAGGTTTCTCAAGTTTCTGCACCAGCAACGCAGATTGGGAGCTCAAAGATCGCTCCACTACAGGGCCCCTTGGTCCCTGAGCTTGGGGGTTGCAATTGGGGCACGCTTGAAAAGGCGATGGTTCACTGGGCGTCTAAGGCTTGTTCAGATCATTCTTCGCAGCAAAAGCACTCAAGTGAGACTGCCGGCAGGCCTGGCAGCAGGCAGCGTGGGCGGCGCCGCTCCAACTGCAAAGGCCTCGTTTTGGTGTTTGGGGTTCAGACGGTTCAGAGCTTCTTAGTTGCCCAATAACCTGGGGGAAAAAAAGGTTAACCTTTGGGATTGTCAGGGACTACACTACCCCAAAAAGGTTTGAGGTTATACCTCCTCTACTACTAGAGCTTATCAGGTCCCGCTTTTTTGGGGGGACTTTCTGGCTTGGCTTGTGGCCCACTCCAATGGCCGAGAGGCCTTTTGCCTCAAATCTTAAGCCTGTAGCCCCTGAACGTGGCAAGAAGGTTGCAAGCCGCGGTCGCACAAACAGAAACACACGTAGACACACACACACACACACATACACACGGAGAGACCGAGGCCGAGACAGAGACGTGCGCTCATACACACTCACACTCTGCCTGTCCTAGAGATAGACTTGACATGAGAGCCGAAGCACATCCAGGTCAGAAGGGCCTGGAAATACAGGGTTACAGGGCTTTACTACGAATTGCTTAAGAAAACCCCCCCAAAACACAATCATACTCTTCCTTATAAGGGAAATATAGGGATTACATATTATTGTTTTTTTTTTTGGGGGGGGGAGGGGTTCTTAAGCAAACAGTAGTTTACGGTCCCTGGGCTCCAGCCTCTGTGATGAGGGCCATGGCGGCACGCTCGGGACGTCGGGCTCCACCGGTGGAGCGGAGCCACAACTTCGGACGCTGGCGCGGGCAAGAACGCCGATGTCTTTGCGCACAATAGTTAGATATAGGAACATAAGACTTACAAGAAGACAATGACATACATGTATTTATGTGTATGTATGTATGTATGTATGTATGTCATATAAACACATAAACATATAAACGTATAAACATATAAACATATAAACATATAAACATATAAACACATAATATATATATATATATATATATATATATAACTCTACAATATCTCCATATACACATATACATAGACACACACATATATATATATATATTTCTATAACTCTACAATATCTCCCTGTATACTCATACATATATTTATATATACATGTATGTGTGTATAGTTCTCTCTGTTCTTCTAATTCTTCTTCTTCTTCTTCTTCTTCTTCTTTTTCTTCTTCTTCTTCTTCCTCTTCTCTGTCTGCGTCTGTTTCTGTCTGTCTCTGTGTGTCCCTGTCCGTCTGTCTCTCTGTGTGCCTGTCTCTCTGTCGCTCTGTCTACGTGTCTCTCTCTCTCTCTCTCTCTCTCCGCTCGTATGCTTGTATCTTTGCGAGTGTGTGCGTCTGTGCGCTTTGTGATTTTGCACTTCTGTCTGTCTGTCTGTCTGTCTGTCTGTCTGTCTGTCTGTCTGTCTGTCTGTTTGTGTGTGTGTGTGCGTGTGCATGTGTATGTGTGTGTGTGTGTGTGTCTCTCTCTCTCTCTCTCTGTGCGGGGGACATGTGTCTGTTTTGCTTGTGTTTGTGAAGGAGTTCCTTTGAGATTTGCCTGGGCTTATGACATTGCACGAGTGTGAGTGCGACTGTGTGCTTGTGTGTGCGGTCTCTGTTTGTGTGTGTGTGTGCGCGCGCTCGTCATATTGGATTCGACAGGGCGTGTGGTAAGCCATGTGTATGCACGTTCTGTTTTTTTTTTTTCTTTTGGTTGAGGGTTTCAGGGACGAAGACCTCGCAATGCCGAGGATATGAGGCTTAGGTCTGACCGTCCCGTCCTGCGTGCAGGGACCTGGAGTATGCTCCATCCAAGGATTTGAGGGGGGGGGGGGGGGGGGGGGGACTGTCGAGAGCGCACAAGCAGTTGTGGTATACTTACCTTACCACCTGCTTGAAACACAAGCGCAAATGCAGCGGGAACTTCTCCCGGTAGCAGTATTTATTCACACCCCCTGCAGGTCGGCATAGACACTTCCAACCGAATTGCAAAGCTCCGATTGCAAGAAAACGTACGAATCCGTGGGGATTATAGTGCGCCAAGTTCCACAGATTGCAGCTAGTATGAGCAAGCCAACATGCACCTTGACTCTAAACCCTAAACCCTGTCCGGCCCGCACTGACACTAAGAGCTCACAAATCATGGACATTTTTGTCGTCCCTTGCCCAGCGCAGGCAAGTCAGTTACAAGGCTCTGCATGGATCTAATGTGGGAGCCTATTAAACTACAATGTTTCGTTTTGGGGGGATGGTCTTTATTGAGCTCGTAGAAGTCAAGGGTTACACTTGGAAAACTCGGCTGCTGTCCTACCCTTAATCCAGCTTGCCACAGTCCTTCACTTCCGCAAAGGCCACCTGCCGGGCGGTGGCGTGAGCCAAAGGACCGACTTTGGGCTCCAACAACTACGCGTTGCCAAGTGACTCGCCCTTCTCTCCTTCGGTAGGAAAGGCAAACACCCGAAGTACCCTCAATACGAAAAAACGAGGATGGCCCTTAAAACCCTCTGAAAAACTTTCCTGAATATGATCCTCTTAAACCCAGTAAGGGAAAATATAAACTGTCCCTGGGGCCTACCCGAGAAAACCATGCAGGCCCTTTGATGAACACGACCGGTCAGCGCCTCCATCATCGCACGGTAGTCAGCACTACACCAGAGGTCGGTCCTTGTCTTGAGATTCAACTGGGGATGTTCTCCCTTTGTGCTTACAGTCCTGAAAAGGGATTATAAGTGGGGGTACTATAATCCCTATCAAGGCCTGCTAGTATACGGGGGAACATCCAAAGACTCAACCCATAAAAGCTTAATAACCCTTAACCCATATGCAAAAGTTACCCTTTTTGGGGGTTCCCTTTTAAGGGGATTCTATTTGTCTTTGGGATATCAGAGGGCTACCCATGTTCTTGGAAGTACCCATAGTTTCGCAGCTTTAGCACGTTCACCTCAGTTCAGGCTTCTTGCACCTCCGAGATTTCAGAGCTGGAGGATCTCAAGTCTCGAAAGTTTTTTCAAGGTGATTTATGTTTTGAGGGGATCCTCTTTTGCATCCAGGCCTCTGGGTAGGAGGATTCTAGAGGGGGCAAGGTGTTACCCCACGATTGGGGGGGGGGGGGGGATGTAAGCATGGACTGCAGTCTGGAGGAATGCTACTGCGAATCATCGTTCTTCTTCTTCATGTGGAGAAATGACAATCAAATACCGGAGGGCAAAACCGAACAAAAAACAACACCACCGATGCTCACTTCAAGCTCGAGAGTGCGCAGATCACCACTGCCTGGCCTCGGCGAAGCCTTCCGTTTGCAGCGACGCCAACCTCTGCGCTGCCCAATCATGCGGCCGAGTCACACAGAAAGCTTCAGTTGCACCTGAGTCAAGTTATGCTACCATACGCACACACGTGCACCCGAGATGCCCCTCTTTGACTCAGGACTCTCAACCTCGCAAGGACCCAACACTCAACCTCCCAATTTGCGCTGTGTGGGAGGCGATTTAACTCAGCTGAGCACAGCTGCAGGCTTGTCGAAGGTCCATGAGGAGGTATACACGTTCTTCCACGGAAAAGCATCCGGTAGCCACACCTTGCGACAAACAGACGGACCACCACTACCACCACCACCACCATAGGAAGCCTGCGCTTTGCCTGCACACCCACAGACTTCCTCTGGAACCCTCTTTCTGGCTCACTAAGTCACTAAACCTAAGCCCTACACCATGTGCAGCCTCGTGGCACACACGAAATCGACCAACTCTTGGTGCACTGAGCCGTCATCCAAGTACAGCCTCGAGTTTCAGAGGGTCGACCTGGGGTTTGGGGGTCTTGACCTGAAGACTTTGGTGTATTCAGAGGTGGGGTTTAGGGTTTAGGGTTTTTAGGGTTTTAGGGGCTGGAGGTTCTTTGCGTTCTAGTTCTGCTGTTAGGGGCTTTTGGGGGGGCTCAATGTCGGGCAAGAAGCAGCTCTGGCACGACATGACCTGTCTATATTGTCGTACGTGTTTCCGAAAGATCTGTGAATGTGGGGGCTCGCGCAAGTACATGTTAAACTGCTGCAAGTGTGGCAGCATCTAGAACCGCGGAGAATTGCGGGTGTCGACCTGTTGGCAACCGACGTTGACGATGACAGGTTTAAGGTGTGTTTCAGCCGGCTTGACCCCCTCAACAACAATTCGTGAACAAGCACCGTTGCTTAAACAAGCCTGTGGCTGTCGAGGCGGCACTGTGCTGTCCAGAAAGCATTGCCACACAATAGCATGCGTACGTTCCTCCAGTGCGTGATCATACTGCTGAGCCCTAAGCCCATAGCTCCCTAAACCTTTTTGCAACAGGCTTCTCCAAACCCTGTATCTGTCGGTTGTCGTCTCCTGAGCTGGCTAGCTCTGTACCTTTGAAATTGTTGTGACACCTTGTGAACTCTGAGGAGGCAGCGAAAACGCTTTCTGCGCCTGGCTTGCACGTTGGTTTCGCAAGGGGCGCGTGGCATGGAACGCATAAAGATGTAATTTGAAGGCATGTCCGTACGCAAGCCCTCATGTAACTTAACAAAGCAAATCAATACAAATACGGGGCACTGGTGCCGGGGACTTACTCGTGGCTGGCGGAACATCTCTCAACGAGCAGCATTCAAAGTTTAGCAGCATAGCATGCTTCAAACACAGGAGAAGACTTAGACCAGACCTGTACCCTGGTCTCTACCACAACAGAATCTAGTAAACTTCAACCTGGAAAATCAGGCACAGCAGGCCTTCTGGCTGGCTGGGAAGGCATAGGGCCCTTCTGACCGCATCTCCTGCCGAGTATTTTCACTGGCTTTGTAGGGGTTTGAGAAAATCGGGGTTTTGGGTTTTAATTTTGCAGCGTTGGCAACCAAGCATGACCGCTCGTCGAACAGCCAGCCTTTCATCCAGTGCTGGCGTGGGGCTGCAAAGATACATGCAGTGTGTCCAGGGCGGACATGGTAGTTTAGGGTTGGTTTAGGGTTTAGGCATGGGCGCGCGCTCACATGTCCCAGACGTGCGGGAAGCCGAGTGCAAGCCTCCCCGCGCCAGCCTCCGCCAGGGTCCGCAAGGCGCAGTGTAGCGGTTCTTCGTGGTGCTTGCAGGTGCTGCCGGCCTGCAAGGACTTGGGATCTTGTGCTCGGGGCCTCAAGGGCTTGAAAAAAACTATTCTTCTTGCGAGTACTATTCCAACAAAATGCTAATATTCCAGTTGTATCACTGCCATGATTCTTAGGGGGCATTCATGGACCTTGAGTTGAGTAGAATTTAATGGGTTGGGGGGTGCAGGATTGATTGGATACCTGGGACACGAACTAGTAACAGCACAACCTTCTCAGCGGATCCCCCAGCAGGGAGTCGCGATGTAGCCTCAGAGCCCAGAACCTTAAGCCTACATACAAGCCTCAACCTCGCACGACATAAGTGCAAACCCTGACATGCGCCCCCCAGGATGACCCTAAAAGCCCTCTGAAGAATATTCCTACCTGTAGTCCTCTAAACCCGGATAAGGGAAAATATCACATGTCCCTACCTAGGTACTCATGAACCTGCCAGTCTTCAGAGGCCACGGCGCCCACTTCGTAGCTTTGAAAGCACTGCAGTCCGGGGGCCTTCATTTGGGGATTCAATGGACAATCTGGACCCATTTTTAGGAAGCCTCTGCTAAAGGGTTTAGGGTTTAGGGTTCATGTAGGTTATCTAGGAACCAGGGCCTGGGCCGGCAATGTAGATCAACCCCCGC